ACACACACACACACACACACATCAATTTTGTTGGCAAATCGCGTATACGAGGTGTGGGCCAAGCGAACGCTCGTCGAACGTCTTTAGTTGTTAGTTTTATACAATCTAATAGCATTAAACACTACTATTAATAACTACAATTAACTACTTATTAATAATTGTTATCACTTTAGGGCGTAGTTATGTCTGGTATGCAATTTGTGATGAGTTTTTGAAATGCGATCAATTTTCATTTACCCAGTAGCAAGTATTTCTAATGCAAATCCAAAATGATAATGAAATCGAAAATGCAAATTCAATGAAAAGCAAACTATTTAAAGCAACAACAACATATTATGATAGTGAATCGCTTAGTAATATTACTACAATTAACTAGCCTAGCCTACTTAAGCAATAATAAATTATGAATAATTATAAAACGAAAACCTATTATCAAATTAGCGTCTAGAACAAAAAAACCCTGTATTAAACAACAAACAGTAAAAAAAGAAAAAAAAATATGTTAAAATATCAAAAATGATTGCGAGTTTTATTTCCATCTACACCAGAATTGAGGTTGCACTCCCACATGGCAGTGCAGAAAACAGACTTTTCAGATGAAATCGATAGCATACGCAAATTCCGATGACTGGCCACTGATAAAACCAATAATATATATGTATATGTCTGTAGTACGTATATGTATTAGATGGATATTGAATGACCATTCAACGGGAAAGAAGAAGCCATCGATCAGCTGAATGAATGAGTCACTCGGAAGGGAAATATGACAGTGGAATATCGGGTGGACTACAGTTGGTCATATTGCACGTGCCTCAACAGTACTCTCCAGACGGTCTCCAATGTTGGCTAAAAGTCCAATACGCATCGAATTGCAATATGCGACGACAATAATCAATAGACGATTTCTATTATGTCTCATTGTGAATTAGAGCTAGACATCAGCGTATTTAACATGAAATTCAGATTCACGATGGAGTTTTGTTTATTACGAGTCAGGGTATACTTGATAGTCTTATAGATGTTTTACATTCATTATTCTGGGCATTTCATATAGCATAGCAAATAGAATTTGCAGCACAACTAAATGGGTATTGTATTATATTCATATTAGGGTATGCGAAGCTCCTTTGATATGCATTTGATATGATATAAGACGATGCAGTTCATAGTATGAGATGTACATATATGGAAGGCTGTCTCACAATAGCTTCTATAATATTTTAACTAAGTTCAACTACATTTATCAACTTATTTAGCTCTACTTCTAGTAGACAAGCATCAGATCGTAAGAGCTGTTCTCGTAGCTCAAAGAAAATCCTCTATTATTCGAAACCTCCTAAATGCTGCACCAATTGCTTAGCTTTCACTAAAACATTTCCATTGCCCAACAATAGGCGCATAAATTGTAAACCTTTAGTTAAAATAACTCACAAGAAATTCCCGCAACTAAGCCACGCCTCTAATTGCCAAACAATTGCTGTTAATTGGTAGAAAGTAAAACACAAAAGTGGAATACGACTGCCAAAATGCGTAACGCTAATGATGAGTGCGAAAAAATCGATGTATGGCCGAGGTCCGCTTATTAGCCGAATCGAATCGAATCGAATCGAATCGAACCAGTTACCCAATCAATCTAGCGACAGCTACGCTGATTAAAAAAAAAAAAAAAAAAAAAGAAATAAAAAGCCAGAGAAAAATGGTGTTGTAGCTGCTGTCTGTCAATATTCGCTGATGATGTTGTATAGATTGTTGTCATGGTCTACTCCAGTGTCTGCCTCCATTATGCGGCTATCAACGAACGGCGATCCATCGTCACTTGAGAAACCCGCCTGGCGCCACAGCGGCATTGAGATTGCGATGACCACGACTTCGGCTACGACTTCGACTTCGACTTTGACTTCGACTTGGACTTCGACTTCAATTTCGACGACGACAACGGAATTGATGTGGGCTAAGCTTTGCTCAGGTGTCGCTCTAGCTGAAGCACAAACTTGGCTTTGCTTGGCTAAGGGCCATTGGGCCATTGTCTTCAATGGCATACATGTCTTGAGCCGCACCATGGCATGCCATGCCGATCTGGGTGGGCACAGCCGGCACACAAATGAGCGCTCAAGTGCGAATGAAAAGTGTGCCAAAGCTAGCGGCTCGGCATTTAGGCCTACAAGCGTGCTCACACTGTGCTACAAAAACAAGTGGTATGTGGGCTGCGAGACAGACAGAAAAGAAAACTATATAAGTATATACACTCATGCATGTATTTGTAGGGTATGAGTAATATACATATATCATTTAAAACAGCTGTTAAAATACCCGTGCTCATTATAAGATAACAGATTGTTAACTGCTGTTAAGTGATATCAACTATTCATTTGCTATTGAAGGCTGAAAGCCTGGTAACATGTTTTATATATTTACTATAGTATATATTATGATATAATGATATGGAAAATCTTGGAACCTTTTTGATCAGATTTCAGCTATGGAAGAGTACTGCAGCAGTTCATTTTACAGTCTGAAGTAAGTAACTCCCTGCCTTGATACCAAGCTACTTTTGGCCAAGAGCCAAGGCTGAAAGGCTGAGCATCTTAACGCAAAGCTTTACTGCAGAAATATATGAGTCGGCAAAGTTTTTTTTTGTACAACTATTTCAACTTCGATTCATGGAAAATATTTGAGTTCTAGGTATAATAAACTTATTTTTCTCTAGCGCTGTTATATCAAATATATGTGTAGGCATGATCATAAGCCAACTGCTCTCTCTTTCTCTCCCTTTCCCTCTTCAACTTGCGCTGGCTATGCAAATTCAGCGCATTCTGTAGAATCGACATATATGTATATATATATATTTTTTTTTTTTGGCTGCTGCGATTGTTGCGTTGACAAAGCCGCGCCTCGACGAGGCTTGAGTCCATTCGGTGTCAAAAGCAACAAAATTAAATGCGAAAACAACAAAACTGAGAGGGAAAAAAATAAAAGAAATTGTGTCGAAAATGAGAAATATGCCCAGAGCAGCCGTCGCCAACGCGAGCTGCGGCCGCAGATTGCGCGGGTGGTCCAAATGGCAGGGGAGGAGTGAGGATGGCAGAGGACAAGAAAAACAAAGCGTTGGCGACAACACCAAAATGTTGCACTGTTTGCTTAGCGATAAGGACACACACACACACACATACACATGGGCAGATGCAGATGCAGGACACAGCGTGCAGGACAACAATGGCATACACACACACACACAGGCATAGTGTGCGTGTAGTTGTAATCAAATCATTGACAGAGCAACCCAAAAGCAACCCAATCATAAATATTGACAGCTGCTGTCTGCGCTCGTCCTGGAGCCAGGCCCGATTTACATAAATATTATTGCAAGCCTAATTAAATGCAAGTATTAGCTGCTAGCAGCACCTACCGCACCCCGACTCCTGCCCACCTTGCCGCCCCACCAGGCAACAGCTGCACAGGAATATCTATGAATTTGTTTGCTTCGCTCGCTGTGCTGCGAGCTCCTTTGTAATTTTTACGTTTTGTCACTCCCCTCCCTCCCTCTCTCTCTCTCACTCTCTTTATATTGCCATCTCGCTCTGGCTAGCTGTGCACATACATATATACTTGCACATATTTATTTACCTGCCCAGTTGTGTTGATGACCTGTTATCATTGCGCCGTTATAACAATAAATTCTACTGCCATCGCCTGACGACGACGCCTGATGACAACAGAGGCGTATAATATTGTTGTCCTTGTTGTTCTTGTTGCTGTTGCTTTTGTTGTTGGTGTTTGTCTTGCGCGGTTTTGCTGTTGTTTTGGCAGCTGTCGTTGCAATTAACCAGGCTATAATAGAGACTCGCCAACTCTAAAGTAAATTTACATTGCGCAACACGAACATTAATAGACTTTAATTATTGTATTAAATTACATGAAGCACTCAATGGCCAAGTGGACTATAATTTGATGATGCCTAAGAGCCAACAGCTTATTAAAGAAGTTTCAAATATATCCAGCAATAAAAAATATATATGTATAATGCTTATAGAGAAGCTCTCCACATGAGCCTGCTCGCCTTTCAGCTTCCTCTATATGATCTCTCTATAAAAGCTACTCTTGAATGGATTATATGTAAATAGCGTCTTATATTTGGCTTCTTTCAACTTTCAAGATCAAAGCTCCAAAAACGTAAGATAACGCCCTAACTTTACAGCGATCGCTGAACAAATAATACTTAATATCGGCTGCAAGAGCACATAGAGTAAACTTCCGGTTCCCTTTGTCAGCTGTAGAGTCCATAAAGCTATGGCCGAGTTTTAGTGCCAACAACAACAACAACAACAACTGCATTTTTATGGCATTAAACAAACTTTGAGAGCGAATGTTTTCGAACACTTTTGAAGTTTTATTGAGTTATAAATACGCAAAATGGCTTTGGAGTTGCCTCGCCCCAAGCGAACCTAAACTCGGCAATTTTCAAATTAAATTTATGATCGATTTATGCCAAAAACAAAACAAACCAACAAAAGAAGAGAAGAGAAGAGAAAAAGTAGCAGGCAAATATGCAAAATGAAAAATCAGCGCCAGGCGTCGACATTTGAGTAAATTAGCCGCTCGCTCAGCCGAGGAGGGGAGGTGGGGACCAGAAGAGATCCGGGCGCAGGCAATTTATTGGCCTAGGCTGACGGACGACGCGACGATGGCAACAACAAAAGCAGCGAAAATTATGTGCACCCAGGCAGGCAGGAAAATTGCAACAACAACATTTGATTGACTGTTGCGCTTGAAATGCTTTGATCTGGGTCTTGGCAGCAAATTGGGGAGGGGAGCGAGAGAGAGAGAGAGAGACAAAGACAGAGAGACTAGATGAACTGCAACGACAGCAGTTGCCAGCTGACGCCAGCAGATGGCGCTCACTTGGTGATTAAACGTCGAGTCGACATCGACGACGTTGCCTCGTCCCCCCCCATTGGATAAGGTCGTCGAGTGCAGCGAATGAAGCTATCGGCGCAGCATATTTGATTATTGCAATCTGATGTGCAGTTTATTTTGCTTATCAGCTTTGGCTGCTTTGATGTCACGCACGGTTCACGTTGGCATTGCGATTGGCTCGTCACCGGGCCGCTGGCTCAATGTTTACGCCCGTCAGCCGGCCAACGAATTTTGGGCCATTTGATGCTGCCGACGTCGACGCAGTTGGCAAGCAGTCGGGCGCGACATAAGCAAATAAATAAGAACGCATTTCAATTTGAATTCGGCTTTGAAATTGGATTTGGATTAGGAATTGGAATCGGAATCGGAGTCGGCGTCGGAGTCGGAGTCCGCAATCGGTGACAGAAATAGAAGCTGCAAATTCAGCACTATCAAAGTGCGAGGCCGCCGTCAGGCCCAAGTCAAATAATCACACACAGCAGCAGCAGAGCTCCAGCTGAAGATATCGTAAAGCTAAAAGAATAACAGCAACAACAACAACAGCTACTCGTTGCCTGCAAATACTTACTAAACGCATTGTTTATTTTTGAGTTTTGTTGCGCGTAAATCACGGAAACGACTTCTTACCAACTCCGCTGCCCGGTTTCTTCTGCGCGGCCAGACAAATTGTCGACAATTTCCATGGAAGTGCCATAAATCAAATGCAAGCTTTCCACACACGCACACACACACAGATAGAGTTTGTGGAATTGTGTGTTAATTGATTTTACGATTTACATATTTTGCCGGAAATTTAGAAAACTAAATTTCAATATTCCATCAATCAAAATTCTTAACGAATTCTTATTAATTTCAGCATGAAAGAGAAACAATCTTATGCTTTAAATGATGCTACAATTTTATATGAAAACAATCGAAATCTAAGCAAATATTTTCTATTTGTATTTCCAGCTAGAAGATTTTCATGTGAAATGTTTTTTATTTGGATAGTTAGTATATTGTTAATTTAAACAGATTTATTTTAGAATTTCATGTTGATCCAAATCTAATTAGTAGCATTCCCTTCACAGCCTTCTACTCTGAGCATGCTCTGGCATACCTTGCGTATGCGTGATTTCTCTGAATTAACTTGAAGCACCTGCGATTGTTGCTTGCGCAGTTCAATGTATGAATGAATGAAGAGAAAGAAACCATTCAATAAAACAAAAGACAGACACATTTGGTTTATCGTTTCGTAACATTGCTCATGGCGGGGGAGGAGGGGCGGGAGGCACTGGGGCAACTCACTGGGGCCAGGCCAGTCGCCAGGCAAATACCTCATGCAGCGCACACGTACCACAATCGGAGCTCTAGTCTATTGTTTAAACAATTAACAATAACATAAATGCATGCATAATTGCAGCGATATCGTGTGTAATTTCAAGCGCTTTCGACGGAAGCCCGCGCCCCACGACACCCGCCAGCGAGTCGTCAACATTTCGAGTCTGCGTCTGGCTCCACTGATCGATCCAGCGCACCCGATAGCCATTCGCCTTGGCCGTGCGAACAGGTGCAGCGCTTGGCCGCTCTCAAGTGCTTTTTGGCATTGTCAAACTGTGTAGCACATTTCATTTGTGGTAAATGCCTGAGGCAATAGCTGGATGAGTTTCCCGGGTCCAGCGAGAGCTGCGCTGGCGCCAAGCTGTTTATCGTCGCCTGCAAACTAAACAAACCACATCCAGGAAAGAGACGCAGAAAGAGAGAGATAGAATGAGGGAGAGTGGAGGCGGGGTGTTTTTAGTGGGCTGAAGCTGCTGCATTTGCATGTGCTGCGGGCAGGGGTGGGTTCACTGCACCGCGGGCGCACTGCAGATTTATCGCCCACGGAGGTGGTAACGCGTCTTCCACGTGGCTATAAAACAGACACCCAAACTGGGCTGCCGTAGCGCCAGCTCATGCTGTGCTGCAGTCGGGCATGCCCGCTAGTCCGCCGGTTCGCTGAGGACAGTGGGCGTGCCTACTTAGTCTACGCCCAAGATCTATTTACCGATACATTCAAGCCGGAAAGTTGCACCCGGCTGGTGGTCAGCCGAGGAACTCAATTAGCCCGAGTCCAAGTGCTGACAGTGAAAAGTGTTGCATGTGGTCAGCATCCGTGGCCCATCAGCTGCCACTTGCAGCTCCACTCGCTATCATCCATCTCCGTCCAGCTTTCACTTCAGCTGCTGCACTCGCTCTCAAGGGCAGTCCTGGCCATGTTTACGGAAGCAGCCGCGAAAATAGTTTTCATTGTAAATATAATAATTGAAATTGCAATAACAGCAGCAGCAGCAGCAGCAGAGGCGGCAGCAGCAGCAGAGGCACAATAAACTGCGCCTGAGCGACTCATTTGGAAATGGATTGGCAGATAAATCTATCGGCTGCATTCTGCAGTTTACACATAAACCATATGGCAGCCGGGGTCCCGAGCCGAAGTAGGTGCTAATTTATGGTAACGACAGCATCCAGCGCGTAACAAAAACAGACATTGTATTTTGGCATTTGAATCTGCATCGATCTGCCCTCTCGCTTGGCAACCACCTAATTGGCATTGGGATCGGTGGATCGATGGATCGGTGGATCGGTTGGATCGCTGTTCACATTCATCCGCAACGGCACGGTAAATATTTATTGCTTTGTTTAGGTAACCCAAATTATAATATAAAGCCAGCAGCAGGCAGCAAAATGTAGCATCCAAAAATCTTTAATTCCCATCGGATCATAGATCATAGCGATCTGGCAACGCTGTCTGTGCGCCAGTCTCTGCCAGTTCGGATTCAGATCGATGGATATTAATTTGTTTGCAAACACATTTCGAGCGTTTTGCCCAATTTGTGGCCGAAAGTATCTGTAAGATACAACACATGCCAAACTCGTGCAGTCCGCTGTATCTGCATCTCTAGCTGTTAATGTGGATGTAAATGTGGATGTGAATGTGGATGTGAATGTGGATGTGAATGTGGATGTGGCCTCCTCAATGTCTGCTGCACTCATGCTGAGCGTCGAAAAGTCTACGATTTCCGTTCGTCATATAAATCAACTGAAAAACCTAAAGCAACAGCATTTCTACATTTTTATTGGTACTGAGCATCTATTTTCTTCTTCTTCTTCTTCTTCTTCTTAGTCTTCTTCGTCTTCAGCGTCCAACGTGCTATTTATTTGTGCATAATAAGTTGTTGGGCAGGCGCAGGGCTCGAGACGGTGCGGATGGGGCAGGTCGAGGGGCCATAGACGCCAGCCTGGGGCGTGGGTGTGTGTAGCCGATGGCTGATGCCTGAAAATTTGTTGTCGATATCAAAATACCAAACAAATCGTCAGCTCGTCATTTTTCAGTCCGTTTTTTCTTCAATTTGTTATGAGCGAGAATGTGAGCAGCTAACGAGACTAGACTATGGATGTTAAAAGTATGACAACCTGTGATGTGATGGAGTCATGAGCAGAGACAGAGAGGAGGATGTTAGATATGGATAGATAGAAAGATAGATCCATAGATGGAAAGATAATATATATAATTATAATTAAAAAATTAAATTAAATGGGTAGATTGATAGAATGATAAGTATAGAAATAAATATCAGCAGATAGGATAATGGATAAATAAATAGCTAAATATGTTAATAAGTAAAAATATAATTAGTAAACCTGATATTTATGTGTCTAATCTGGTATCTATATAATCTGGTAGCTATATAGTTTTATTGTTCTATTTTTTTAATCAAATTCAAATGTCTAGAAACCTATTTAACTTCTCTTCGATTGTCAAACTTATATGCCTATAGAATATCTTATTATTCCCACTCTTTCATTCTCATTGTCTTTATACACCTCCACATGGCATTTGCCTATCGAACTACCGCTGTACACTAACTTCTGCTACGCACTGTACACATGCCAACCTGATGCTTCATATAGACATTGGGGCGCGCATGTTGTTTCTTATTTATGTACATACATATGTATTTTGTTGTTGTTGTTGTTGTTGTTGTTGTTGCTTCTGCTGTTTGAGAAACAATTCATTAATGAATTTTAAAATGCTTCTAATCGATCGTTTGCGCTATAATTAATGTCAGTCGAAAGGCAATTGGAATGTGTGGCGTGAATGCGTTGCTCGGATATAGAACTTGATTCATGTTCCATTCACGATGCTCAAGTTGAGATTTAAGGTTGTGCACCTGCTGTGCCACTTTGACCGACATTGCCAACTGAACTGCCGCCTCTGACCCAAAACTGAAGAGAATGGGAAAGGCAAAACGGCAAGCATAATCGAAATGGATATAGGAAGTGAATTAGCTGTCGGTTTGTGGCGATGCGCGGAATGCGCTAGAATTCTATTCTCTGGCCCACTCGCCCCACTCGCATTTGTATTTATTTCGCTCATAGCCTCATGGGATGTGAAACACTTGGTGCCGCGCTGTCTGCACGAGCCGCAGCAATAATAACAAGAACCACAATGACTGGAAACATGGGCGGTGGTGGTGGTGGTGGTGGTGCTGGCGGTGGCGGTGGCAATAATTGTAACAACAACAAACAGCAACACACGCGTCTACTGCATATTTATGCAAGAGCCAACCACCAGATGCAAATGGATATAACTCAAAAACTGGCCTGACCCGAGGAGGCTGTGCGCTGTTTTTCCACGCCTAGCGTGAAAAGTGAAAAGTGTTGAGAAAAATGTATGAAACAAATGGCAAAGTCAAGCCAACATAACGAGAGACAAGACTAACAGACCAGACCAACTGCAAATGAGCGAAGAGGCGACTCGATTCGCCTCGACTCGACTCGGCTCAAGAATTGTTGTAATTTGTAACCAGTTTACTGAGCAAATATTTTATCAACATATTTTCAGAGACAACAATCAAATGTTTGTCTTGAAAATATTTAAATATTTACATTGTGAAAACAACTGCAGCCAACGAAGAAGACGACGACGATGACGACGAGGAGGAGGAGGAGCAGGGGGAGAAGGAGGAGGTCTAAGATGTCAGCAAGACTTTGACTCTTTAAGAAACTGCGAATAGCTACTATATTTGGCTAGCATATATGTATGTGTATGTGTATGTGTGCATGTGACTGTGAGTTGAGGCTTGATTAGATAGAGGCGTGGCTAGGTAAAGACAGTTGCCTTTCAAATTGAAACTTTATACTTTATACTTTTATATAAACCATAATAATATAAATAACTTTTAGTCGTTTAGTCAATTAGCTAAAAAACACGTATCTGTCAGAGGATTGCACTAATTAATTATGCCCAAACATAAGCTGACAGACATACACACATATACCTACAACCACAATGATAACAATAGAGATTTATATTGTATTTGAAACTGTGAAAATTATCCGAGCGTTGCAGCTGGAAAATTTGTCGTCAATGGCGCGCGGTTAAGCAAACAAGACGCCGAGCAAAAGACGTACAAAAAAAGCAGCTAAAAAGTAAAGATGCAGCCAAGGCCTTGAGCTACAAGTTGAGTACGGGCGTGGGTGCGACACACACACAAACACACACACACACACACACACATGTAGAGGCAAGTCATTCGAGATTTCGCAGTCAATTTAACAAACGCCCCTGAAATGATTGCAAGGCGCGTGTGCGTGTGTGTGCGTGTGCGTGTGTGTGCGCAGACGTCGCGCTGCTGTTGATAAATACCCTAGCCCAAAATGGAGCATATTAATTGGTAAACATCTTCTTTTTTTTCTGCCGTTTTATTATTATTATTTTTTGTCTGCGACATAGTTTAACAAGGTAGTTGAGCCGCCATATCTTAACCCTGGCTAAGTACAATGAGCAATTTCCTGCTGATGCTGCGGCTGATGCATTGGCTGTGTCTGTGTCTGTGTCTCTGGCTATGGCTGCCTACACACACACACACACTGACAATTTTGGTCCTAAATAAACATTTCAACACCAACGAAAACGACGTTGACGACGAAGACGACGACGTTGGCTTTGACTGTGTGACGGCAGCGCAGCCTCCGTCCCGTCGCCTCGGCGTTAAAGCGTTTCGAAAGTGGCGCGCGACGTGGACGAGAGAGTCTGTTAAATTGTCTGGCCAAACATATAGCAGCGTTTAACCGCAGCCAGTCGCTGCTACCCCTGGTTCGCTCACTTCCGCAGCCCGAGCCGCCCCTGCCGCGGCAGCCCTTGGCAGCCAAGCGTCGCTCATTCGCCGTCGCAATATGCTAAATAAACATTGGGCCACGTCATGGCTTATTGAATTGTCACTTATGCCCGAATTTGAGTTTTTGTTGCCATCACTGCGGCTCCTGCTGCTGCTCGGCTGCTCTCTAGTCGTTTCTCCCTCTGCCCAGAGTGGATTCTTCCCTCTCTGCCACTCTTCCGCTCTTCCGCTCCTCCCTGCTTCCCTGCTTCCCTGCTTCACCGTTTCACTGTTTGTCACATCATTTCAATGGGCATTCATAATGGCGACTATCTGACGTTTCCTTCTGCCAGCGGCTGCCAGTTGCCAGCAAAGTGCTTCCATTTAATTGGTTTTACTCCCATGGAAATTCAATTTCAGCACTTTGCAACTCGAAAGGCTCACATGCCTCACATGAGATACCCTAACATAATCAATAATCGATTTATGTTGTTTACACAAAGCGCTGCAGCAGCAGTCGGGGAATTCAATTTTGAAATGAATTCCATATTGTTTATGTGGCTTAACTTAGTACAGAAGAACTCTCTTCATGCGAATTATGAACGAGGGATTACACAGTTCTCCTAGAGATCTTTGGCTGTAGTGTTTTTTAATGAACTTTAACTATTGATTAGATATGGGGATAATTTATAGATTCCATTTTAATTAGCATATCTTATTTATTTTTTAATTGAGTTTCCATGCTCACTTCATTAAATTAAAATTATTAAACTCTATCTATTACCATGCTCATCTTAAATTTTCTAATATATTACTATAATTTAAGCCAATAATAAAACTGTAATATAAATCACATTTTTTATATCGCTCACAAATCAATCGATTCACACATTTGGCTCTTTCCTTCATATTAATTAACACCCACATACATATGTGTGTATGTGTATGTGTGTGTGTGCACTGATATAGAAATCAAATTATGCACTGACAATTTAATTGAAATATTGCAAATCTATGCGCCATAAAATGTTAGAACAAATCTTCCACAAAATAACAAAAACAAAAACAACAACAACAACAAGGGTAATAACAATTGAAATAACAAACAATAAATGGCAATCAAAATTGAAATGTTTCAAGCTTCATTTAAAAAATAATAAAAAAAACATACTCTATGTGCATTACATAGATACATATGGAGCATATGGAGCTCTACGAATTGATGCGCCGGATACATTTCAAATAAATAACAACAATGCAGAAAAACAGCATGACTGTGTTACAATACAATTACAATTAGAATTTTCCATTTTGCATTTTCGTTTTGCATTTTCAATTTCATTTTCATGACTTCCGTTTAATAACAAATAAATCGCATAATCCAAAACATAATATTTTTACAATTAAAATTTCAAATAAATTTTAGCAAAGCAGCAGCAGCAGCAGCAAATCAAAGCAATTACAACAACAACAACAAGGCGGGCGCAGTAACAAAAATAACAACAACAGCAACTCACACACACACACACATACATACACAGATTCAAATACAATAAAATAAATTAGCACAATCGTCAAAATTGAACAAAAAAGAAAAAAAAAGAAGCTACGTAAATATAAACGATTATTGACACAAACACAAAGCCAATAAATGATTGGGCTGGCAAGTGGGCGGGACAGTGGGCGGGCGGGCGGTCGATTGAGATCGATTGTGCGTGGCGCGCAAATAAACAGCAAAATTAGCGAAATTATGCAAAACGATAATAAACATAAGTCCGGACTCCGGAGACAGCAGCTAGGCTACGAGACAGCAGCAGCAGCGGCAGCAGGAGACGGGCGACCTGCCCAGGTTTATCGGCGGCATGTAAAAAATAAGAAAAATCGCGAGCAAAATAAATAAATAAGAGGCGGGCGTGAAATAAAAATTAATCAGCAGAAGCAAAAAAGCAAGTAAATAAATCAATCAAATAAAACTAAATTACATTAAAAAAAAAGAAAGAAAAAAAGAAGAAAATTCAGCCAAGCAGCCATTTTCGATTTTGCATTTTTGTGGGTCGTTTGGCAAACTTTTTCATAATCTTCGGCCAAAGGAAAAAAACATAATAAAGCTTTTGCACCTTTTGCGGCATTACAGCAGCAGCAGCACTGCTATCTCGCTCGCACTCAGCGGCGCTCGCTCGCCATCGCCCCGTCTCTGTTGCACGCGCTCTCTCACTCAGGCGCAGTTCACACCTTGGCTAAACCTTAGCAAAAGTATCTATCGTGCATAAATATTTATGTATCTAACTGGGGCGTGCCGCTACAGTAACAATAACAACAACAACAGTAACAACAACAACAATAACGACGACGGCAACGACAACAAAGACAACGGCAGCAACAGCAACAACAACGAAACAAGTTTTAGCATTTAAATGAGCGCTAAAGTTCGCCAAAAATTGTTTTGTTGGCTCCGCCCACTCGCAGCCGACGCTGACGCTGACGTCGCAGTCAGCTGCGCGGGCGACAGCGCACAGATGTATCTCACTAATACACATGCACAGCAACGGCGCTGCTGCTGTTGCTGCTGCTTAGAGCATTTATGAAAATAACCACCTCGACTGCGCAGCCAGCGTCAGCAGCAGCAGCAGCCGCAGCAGCAGCGACTGCGAGAGCGACTACAACAATTGGCATTTAGCAGCTCCGCCATCAACTCGTTCGGGCCGCGCAGTCTGGGTCGCAGCAGCGGCCACAGTCAGAGCCATAGCCAGTGGTTACTTCTGCTGTTGTTGTTGTTGTTGTCGTGGTTGTTGTTGCTTTTATTATTGTTGTTGTTGTTGTCTTTGTTTTGACCAGTCGATCGCCGTTGCTGCCATTGCCTAGTTCGCTCTTGCTCGTTTATGGCCGCCAGCAGAGCCCGCACATAAATTACTCGCTTCTGCCGACCTACCGTTCGCCTAGCCCACTGTCCGTCTGTCCGCCTGTCGTCAGCTGTCCATCCATCTATGTTAGCTATCTGTCTGTGACTGTGACTGTGGCTATATCTGTGGCTGTGGCTGTGGCTGTGGCTGTGACTTACCTGTCGGCACATACATACATAGACATGTATATATAGACTACATCAATGTATTGGTGCCTTGTGAAGCAGTGCGTCCTTCTGTTTTGCCGTCGCTACTTTGACTCCGAGGTGAGTTTGCCAATCGTTTCGCATGTTGAGCGAATACGAGAATTTATTAATTGAGTAATAATTGGGTAAAATATATAAAGCATTAATTTAAAGATATTTTAAATATTTATTAGATATATACATACATCGGAAATTGAGATTTACTGATATATAAATTTGACGGCAAAAATTTTGTTTTCAATGCCCTTCATAAATTCATATTTTATTTATAATAATAAGTATAATATATATACCTCAAGCCGATTAAAGCTGTATGACTAATATATTTTTTCATTATTGATTATTACTATAAAAAAAAATTTTTATAGAGATAGTAAGTCTGTAGAATATTGTATACAAATCAATTACCTATTACATTTTCCTAGTATTTAATTTCAATTTTGTTTTGTCAATGATTCAATTTGTCACAAGTTCATTCTTATCTCATATATACTTGATTCATATAGCAAAATGTCCTACGAAATACATATATAATCATTATGATATTCTGATTTTATATATTATGATTGTATAATTAATGCTATATCAAATATTGAGTCAGTTAAGCTTTCATTTACATTGATGTAAGAATTTGCCTTTAGATTGTTAAGTTAACTTTAATCAGAGTTGATATTTGCTATGGTTCTATTTAATATTTATTCATTAGTCAACTAATTGTCATTCCATATTCAAAGCGTAACAAAACTCGCCTTGACTTAATATTGGAATATTCTTTATAGACTCGAGAAGCATAAAAAGTCATGGCAAGTGTCATTTGATTCGATGCTACAGAAATCCAATAGATCACAGCTGGTGGCCATTAAACCTCCAACCACTGCAGGTAATTGCATTGCAGGCGACAATTGGAAACCGCGACGATGGAAATTGTAAACCAATTAAAACAGCTGCTGCGGCTGCTCCTGCTGCTGCTTCTGCTGCTTCTGCTGCTTCTGCTGCTGCGTATGCGTAATGAAAAGCAAATATTAATAAATCATACGTGACCAATCAATTTCATACTGCGGGGAATGTCCGCCCAATGCAATAAAGATACAAACTCACAGATGCACATGCAGTTGCATATGTATGTGCGTCTGTGTGTATGTGTGTGTTTACAGAAGTTGGCCAACTGACGGGGAAGATTTGATGAGCGCCAGCAACTGTCGCCCGAGCGCACGTCACAGAATCAATATTTAATTTATAATTAACTTTACAACATGGAAAACAACGCAACAACTCAGAGTCGAGAGAGAGAGCCAGAGCTCCAGATCCATGTTTCCAGGCGCCGTCGTTTATCTTTTTAGCACACAAAACCAACTCTGAGGCCTAGGTGAAAAGCCCGAAAGAGACAGCGGCAGCGGGAGGGTGGCTGCTCTTGACATGAGGCTGGGGCGGGATTTGTGGCGGCTTTAAACGTTTGCCACTATGGGCAATTAACGCGCCCATACGCAAACACGCTCCTGATCCTTTAGACAAACAGACGAGACGGTGGCCAGGCACAACAGAAACAGAAAAAAAAACGAAGCATTACGCAGTGCTACAAAGACTGAACAAAAAGCAATCGAGGGTAAGTTGGCCCAGCAAGAACAGAAATAGAGAAAGAGAGAGAGAGAGAGAGAGAGAGATAGAGATAAAGATGGGAGAGTGTAAACTTTTCGGGGGTGCTAATTGAAAAACTCAATATTTATCTATGCGAACAACTTACAGTTAGAGCGTCAATTGAGTCCGCTCTCAGGGTGGTTCAACGAGCGGCCATTTTGAACAGGTCGGAGGAAACTCCAGCGTACTCTCAGCTACATCATAATGATGAGAAACATGATTAAGTTCAGCTACCAAGATCGTTGACAAACTTGTGCAGCAGAAGTGGAACTAACTTTTACCTCCATTGAGGAAATGTTGTGACCTCTTGTAATTGGAAGTGGAGCACAGAAATCAGTTAAATAAACAGGAAGAGCTCTGCTTGTAATTTAACCGGGGCTGCACGCTGACGTCGACAGGTAGAGCCAAGTATCAAGGGCACTTTCAAAAGATGGGAGAGTGTCGTTGAGAAAATATGTTAATTTCAGTTTCTTAATGATAAATGGAGACGATCAGAAAGTAAAATATACATATGTAAAGGAGAATATGGGCATATATATGAGGAAAATGTAAAATGGAACATATATAATAATATATGATCATATAAATGAAAGAAAAATTCGATGACTCTCCTATGTGATTCTCATTAAAGATAGTCATGATAAATAGCTTTAATAAAATTGAGTAGAAAAACCAAAGCATGGAGTACTTATAGCAAAAGAAGCTACTAGCCAGAGCTTTAAATATTGTTCTATAATTATCTGAAAAATATAATATATAAGACTACAGGTCCCTTCACATCTTCAGCTTTTCTTCCATAATTAATCAATTAGTCTACACAGCTCTAAGCCAATGAACGACTCGCTTCGCAGACGCCACGCAGCGTCAATTGGTCTAATCGCCATTTAGCACTAAATATATATATATATAGAATATAGCACATATATATCACATTATATTTAAACGATGTGGCCATAAACTGCAGCGTCGTTCTGCACCTTTTTAATGATCTTATTGCAGTTATGCGCTCGCCTGAGTTTTATGGACCTGCTGCACACCGTAGACGTTGCGTCGACAGTTTTTTCCCAGAAAAAAAAACACATGCAATCAACGCCCGGTCAAATACAGATGCAGCTACAACTATAGCCCCAGAGAGTGAGAAAGGGAGAGAGAGGGAGAGAGGGAGGGAGAGAGTGATAGAGCAGCTGAGCCCAGGCAAATGCACTCAGCACTTATTAGGCTTTTGATATATGTATGTACAAATGGAGACGACAATGGGGCGTAAAGCGTATGGGCGTGGCTGGATGGCCTAATGTTTGTATTATTGTTGGAAATAAACTCTGATTTTATATTGTTGGCATTAATGATTTTGTTCCCCTAAATTTGTTAATTACCAGCAAACAAATTTGTGTATACAAACCATGCTTGACTTTTTATGCATTTTCTATAGAATTTCTGAGTGATTGCAGCGGGCTGAGAATTGTGGATCGCAATTCAGATGATATTGTGAGAGTTAAACGTTTCTACAAATTGTGAGCATCTACAGAAAATACAGATATTGCAATATATTATATTATATTAGCTGAAGTAGTTGGCCATAATTGTGCATATTTCTCATCTCGGATCCAGCAACTAAGCCAACCAATATTAACCACTTGATGTGCTGCTAATAGCACTCCAAATGGAAAACTGCAGTGATCAGCATTAGTTTTAAACCAATACAAAGTAAACAAACAGCTCGACATGTGTTTAGACACGGAGCATGGCTGAGCGGGAGCCGGGGGGAAGGAGGTGCCAATATATCAATTACATGTCGAACATAATGCAAGATCTAATGCAATGCAGCATGCCAATGACTACCGGAAAACCCCAAGCAACAACAGCAACAACAGCAACAACAACAACAACGACAGCAACAAACAGTGGAAAAGTGCCCGAGCATCAGTTCAGAAGGGGAGACTAAAGAACTAAAGCGTATTACAAGGCTGGCGGGAGGGCGTGGCGGGACGGGGCGTGGGGTGGCTGTCAGCTCAAGTCAATCAAATCGTCAGTTAGCATCGCTGAAAAGCTACAAATGCCTTATTGTCAAAACAAACGGCAACAATTAGTTTACCAAATTACAAGAAAATATTTTTTAAACGTTCCACAAACATGCAGCGAGACTTGACACATGGTCTCTGGTGGTGCGTGGTGCATGGTGCGTGGTGCATGGAGCATGGTGCTGCTGCCTGGTGGGTTGACTCCTTACAGCGATCAGGGGCGCTGTCACAGCGCTGTCCAATTGTCTGGCAGTCCATTTGTGGCATGTCGCCGGCATCTGTGCGCCTTGGAGCTGCGGATTTTACATGATTCTGTAAATATATATATGTATGTATATATGGTTGAGCACTTTGCAGTTGGCTTCCCCTCTCAGCTCTCTCTTCCGCTCGCAAATGTTGCAGTGTGTTTTATTTCAAATTCACACGAATGGCGCACGCAAGATTGCTTGGTTTTGGATTTGAATTTGGATTTGGATCTAATCTGTTTTTTTTTTTTTTTTTTGTATACAATAACGAGCAGAGAGATGTAGAGGCGAAACCATGGGGAGTATATCTCGTAAATTAACGGCGTTCCTAGGCCCCAGCCATTGTTGCCGCAGCCATAAAATAAAGTTTCGAGAAGCGTATAAAATTTATAGCGCCCGCTACCCAAGAAAATCTGACAGCGCACACCTTACGTCTTGTGATTGACAGGACCGCAGGGGCGTTCTCTTCTTCTTCTTCTTGTTGTTGTTGTTGTTATTGGTGGTGGTGGTGTTGTTGGCACTGCTGTTGCTGCTACTGTTGCCCTAATGCAATTCGCATTTCAATGCAATTTCACAGGCAATTTCGAGCAACTGCACAATGGGCATTAAGCAGCTCACACAGCCTACAGTCTACAGCCTTCAGCCTTCAGTCTGCAGCTCAGCTGAATTCCCAATGGATAGAGCCATGGGCCTGGTTTAGACCCTCATGCGCACGATTAGGCTCGATGTGAGAAAAATATAAACAGTTACAGTTAGCTCTAATGCTGTTCAGTTATTTAAGGTGCTTACATGGGTTGCTCTTTTATTTTTTACGAACAATTGTGCAACAATTTGTCTTGGTGGTGAGCTTAGCCTGGCCGCTGGCTAACAGAGCAATCTATTCGCTCTCCCTCTCTCTCGCTCTATCTGACTCTCTCTCTGACTCTCTCTATCTCATTGGACTCGCAAGCCAAGTCCAGATCCACTTCAACCTGGTGGTCTTTGCAACCCCTTTTTTGGCAATATGCCCCTGCTCCACACACACACACACACACACACACACACATAGAGAGAGAATTCCCACTTAGCATAACAATGGCGTTGCGACTTCTTCCTTTCAGGGTTTATGGAAATTAGCCCTATACACAGCCTCCAGCCTTCAGGATGGGCTGCTCTTGATACACGTATATGTATCTGTGTCTGTGTGTGTGTGTGTGAGCATCAACTGAAAATTAATTCATTTATATGCAGAAAATTCAACGTTTTGTTGTTGCGGACAATGTTACAATGTTATCAATTTTGGCCCAGCGGCTACTGTGGCTCCAGCCGGGGCTTAAAGGTGTGTGGCCCGAAGATACGAATACAAATGTTAAGCAGCAGCAGCAGCTGTTAGGTGGGTGACTGGGTGAGTGGGTGCTTAGAATTTGACGATAGAGTTAATTGATTGTGGGCGCCAGTCGGCTAACGAGAAGGCGCGTGCAATATAGGCTTGACTGGGATTTGATTGTTGGCATATGACAAAGACCTCTGAGATGCGTACTTCATTCCGGCAATTTTTGAGCCATACTCTGAGAGATAGACTTGCACAGTTTCAGTTATCATGTGGCTTCACATTTAAGTTTTTTTTGGATTTATTACATGCTAATTAAGGGGAGGTATTAACGACAACGAGATGAGCTGTTAACCAACGTTGGTAGAGCTAAAATCCCTTTTTATAGTAATCAAATATGTTCCATTACTAACTGCTGATATTATACATAATATTATATTAATACTTTTCAATTCAGATTATAATATATATGTTAGTTTATTTGAATTTTAATAGCTTTTAGATTTATCTAAGAGTCATTCAGTCAACTTTCAGTTTGAGGGCCAAAGACTTCACGGCTGTCACGCCCATTTCCCCTCGGCAAAACCGTCACGAATGTAACCCAAAACAAATAATCATTCAACTTAAAATTTCGGGGGTTTTGGTCATCGCCTTAAGTATTTCCGCATTGCAGCAGAGCAGACCGGAATAAGTGTTGGAGGAAAGGCGCGACAAATACTAATTTCCATGCAATTTCAAGTGCATATTCAAATTACACCAACACACACACACACACATACTTACACTCATACAGAAACAGAGACACACACAGTCAGAGATGATATACTTAACTGCCCAAAATATTTGAATGGGTAGCAACGGACCCCGTTAATGAAACATGACACGTATTTCCCCTGCGCCGCTGACCCAGCTTCAAAGTGTGGATCTGAATGTGTGCCTATCCCTATCCCGAGCTCGATCTCGAGCCCGTGCCCATCGTCAGTCCAATGTCAGAGTGTAATAAATATGAGACTCATTAAGAAAACCATAAATAAATGCAACGTCAGTGCATGACCAACAATTAAGAGCGAGGAGCTGTCCCAAGATGGAACCGAGTCGAGCTGGGCAAACAATGTTGTGAGCCCAGCTCGGCCCGAGATCGTGCTGGATGCAGCTCAAGCTCATGTAACATGAACAAATAGTGCGACAGAGCTGAATGATGTCTAGAAATTGTCGCCCGGCAGTCTGGCATGCTCGTTGGGTCCACTCCACTTGAGGCGAACAGGCGACAAATTTTTGAGACCAAAAATAGCATGACACTTGAATTCGGATTGGTCTTTGTGACTGGGACAGGTTTTATGGTTACGCACTCATTGTATAATTTACTGTATGCAGATGTTGCTCGTGTTACGCAGCGTCTGAGGAAGCACGGGAATGCCGCTTGCCCCGAAATTCTATTGAATTTCAACAGAACTGGAAAAAGGTCTGCGTCTCTGTCTCCGTCTACGTCTCCGTCTCCGTGTCCGTCTCCAAGTCACTCGCTAGCTGCCTGCACCGAGCTCCTAGTCCAAGTGCCATGTGAACTTTTGCACCTGTGCCACCGATATACAAATATACATGAAGTCTATTATAAATTGTGACCCGGGGCTTCTTATGGATAAAAAACAATCAGGCACAAAAAACATATGAGCTACCAATATGTACCGCAATATATCCCTATATATGCACATATACACACACACACATATAATATATACATATACTCCTAGCCGAACCGATGCGAAGCGAGCCTTTGATTTTCCGGCAGCTCTCTTTGATTTCACTTCAAGCCAGTCCAGTGGCAGTGGTAGGCGGCCCCGCCTACTCTGGCTTTTTGCTTGCCAATCGATTGAAAATTTTTCGCATTGTCGCGCGCTCTGACCAAGCAACCGGAGGCTACTTGGCCGCGCCCCATGTGTGTCCGATCTGCGCCCCCAGCGTGCATATGAAATGTTGTGAACACATTGTCGGATGGGGGAGGAGGGGCATGGGCATGGGCATACGCAACCCCCTCTTGTATGATACGACAATATTTACAATCATAATATTATTCGCGCATATGGACTTGAGGTTGTAATCCATAATTGGTTTGCCTCTTACGCCAGAAGTGAACTGTCCGGGTTACTGGCTTAATTTAATGAAATTGTATTAAAGTTGCTTTCTCTGGATTTCAGTCAGAATAAATCAAATTCAATGAAATTCAGACAAATCAAAACTAGACTCAACTGAGAACTGTTCTGAGTTTTTGGTTCTTCTTTTATGTAACTTATATAGCTAATTTATACATCGATCTATCGATCTAGCAGTATCAATTGAGAGCCTAAATCGGCATCGCTATCAGATCATGCTAAGCTGAATCAATAAAGAGCTCACAAATTCCACAATTTATACCTAAAACATAAATCAAGATATTGTGGCTATATCTACTGACGTCTAGCTTTACCTCAACTGTTTGATCAACATCCAAAAACCAGAGCGTTAAATCATTTAACCTAATGCCTTTCAAATTAGTCCATAGCCCATTGCATCCGGAATGGCATATGAATCATTCTGCCTAATGAATGTGTCTGTCACTCGCTGTCAACACGTTGCTTAGTCGGAGCCCCCTCTGATGGCATGATCTCGCAGGGCGCACGTATATGACTCCCAAATATGAATTGGAGCTGAGAGTGTGGCACTGTCAGACAGTACGACAAGCAAACAGACAGACAGACAGCCAGACAGACTCTCTGTGGGCAGGCTATATTTAATACAGAGTGACATTAATGTCAGGCACAATTAGTCGTGAGGAGCGCCAATGGATAAGAGGAAAATGCTACCCAAACACGAGCAAATGAAAAAACCAATCAAAAAACGATAAACGAGGCGCGCGGAACGAGCCACAAGATATAATTTGACATGCCTCCGACTACGTCGAGGAAGATTCATGGCTGGAAGATGATTTTGTTATTGCAGCTTTGGATTTCGATTTTGATTCATTTTTCGTCTGCTCTTCTCGTTCAGTTGGTACGTGTGTGAACCGCTGAGCTATAAAATCTCTTTTAGCCATGGCCTTTTGTCTGGGCTTTGTTGCAAACTCGTAAACAAACAATTACACAACAAAGCGGCTGCAAATGGGCCACAGATAGAGCTAGAGACACCTACCAAAATAATAGAGAGCACAATAGACACCCGAAACTCAAGCACGGTGGCATCCCCCTATGCCTGCCTGCCTATATAGCCAATCCCATCCAATCCCAGCCAACATCAATTGTTTCACCCCTAATCCCGTCCTGCGGCCAACAGACAACTCAATATACACTTTCCTCTGCTTCAGCTACAATTGCGATTTTCACTGCGTTTGCGTTTGCGAATTTGCCGCCGCTGCGCTCGGATTGATCTTCCACGGGATCTCATTGCCCTAGGGGAGATCTCAGATCTGTTCTAACTGGGGCTGAGGCTGTTGCCTCTGGCGTTGGTGTTAATTTATAAAAAACAGCGCCTCCGTTTCGCATTTTTGCAGCGTTGACGCTTTTTTTGCAGGCGGCGCGTGGTATAAAAACCAAATCAGATAAAAGATATACTACGTGTTTATATTGAGAATAGCACAAACGATACCAAAGTGTGGCACAGTGATGCATGGTACTTGACTAACACAATATTGGATATTGATTTGGCTCTAATATTTTTAATATTTACTAAATATAGTTTTATTAATATTAATAAAAATTGATTTGGCTGCAAGAGAAAAATAATAAATATTAAATATAGTTTTATTAATATTATTCAAAATTATAGGGCCTTGTTTAGGCTTAAAATCTTATCAAATAATATTTTTAAAATATATTAGCATATAATATTATGATCCTTACCCAAAATATATATCATTTAAATCAATTAACTATCTTAAACTATCTTATATACTTTAAAGTACTAAATATATTACAATCAAAATTCGTAGAGCGATAGATATTCGTCTCAATCAGTCCACTTGAGGTATTCACCCACTGTACAGAGTCAAGTAGCTAGACAGGCTCCACTGTGGCAGCCACATAAACGCCTCGACGGCGTCTGCGTCGTCGGCATAGATCAAAGCAAACTGCAAAACGGTTAAATCTTTTGAAATGTGCGCACTTTTTGACACCCAATTTGTTTAGAAGTGTACGCCCCACCAGTTCCAATATAGTATAAAACTGTATCCACGATAGGGGCCCGAGGCCTGAGAGATCGTGCTCAGCTGTAGCTCATGAGAATGAGACGTGGCAAGGTGAGAGCACTTCATTCGGTTCGTCAGTGGGCCACCTTTTCTGCGAATTTCATTAATAAAAATGTCGAAAGTGTTGGGCGTAAAGTGTGCAGCGGTAGCAGCAGCCCCAACCCCCAATCTTCGCCGTAAAAGTCCACGCACACACACAGCATTCGACACACACACACACACACAGGTGGCACAATCAAACGAATTTCCATTTGGCGCTTTTGTTTTTAATAAAAATTCAAAAGATTTACAGGCCACAAGTAATTCCACTTAAATTGCGTTAATAGTAGAGCCGGACGGGAGGGTGGTGCTAAATAAAATTAGGGCTCGGGGCGGAGCAGGACGGGAGAGCAGCAGTTCGTCAGTTCATTCATAAAAATGTAGCCAAGGAAATGCTTAATTAAGATTTTTCCGTATAAAGACCGAAGAGGGGGACCTGGATTGTAAGATATGTGTATACATATACATTGATATGTGTGCAAGGTATGTAAGTACTCGTAATAATAAGTTTATTGATTTGGGAAATGCCACAGCCGGATGTTTACGTCTCGGCTACTGCATGGCTATGGCTAAGGCAAACCGTAAGCAACGTGTGAAATGTGCAGGGATTAGAGTGCAGCAGCAGCCGATCGCTTACCAATACCCCGATCCCGTCCAGCAAGTTGCTAAGTTGGTAAGTCAATCCACGCTTAGCAAAAAAAAAAAAAAAAAGAAATGGAAAGAGCTGCGGAATTTCCATGTGCATTTCCAATGCTCCTCGGTGGCAAAGTCAAAACATGCGGTTTGTGTGTCCGCGCATTAAGTTGGGAAAAAATAAAGAGGAAGAGTAGAAGAAGCAATGCAGAGGCTGGATTTATTTGTACAAAATGACTTCGCAAATGAGATTCTGTGCTGACCACCGAATGTGTCAATATTATCATGGGCCCGGCCTATGCAAACACAGCAGAGCTCGCACACGGCGCGGTCTATCCGGGCTACCTGCTGAGCGAGGTGTGCATGGTCCTGTTAATGTCCAACACCTACGCACTCGAATCAGCCGCAACGTGACCTGTGGCCTCGGCACTGGATTTTCACTTATGAATGGATGCGTCCACGGCCAGGCGATGCCAAGTGCCATGTACATGCACCGATAATCGATGTGATTAGGCCGTGTCGTAAACTGTAAACCTCAACCGAGCAATCAATAATTTATTTCAAGAAAAAAAAAACATGGTGACGTATTTAGACAGCCACTGACAGCCAAGCAGGCTCACAAAAAAGAAGAAATAATAAAATTGATTGTCACAAGCTGAATATCTGATACCCTATCATACCCTAACTACAGTCGAGTGTAAGTATCAGCCAGCTCCAAGCCGCTTTCGATCCCACTCGCTGTAACCTTTCACTGATACATATATATGTGGATCTTTTAGCCCTAGAAACAACTTTAAATTGCCAACAGTACGACATAGTTAATGTACCACTCTGTGCAGTTAGGGCACCGATATGTCTTAGTATTAAAAATAGCTGGATGACAGCGCACAATATTTGGCTGCCCCAGGGCGATAGAGAAGGAAATGAGCTGCACTTAAATGCATGCGAGAAAACCACTCGATGCCAACAAGTGGATAAGAAGCCACCACCACGACACAAACGATGCCCAAACGAACTATCAATGTCAGTGAATTGGCAAAAAATTTAAACTCAATTTGTATGCAGGCCGGAGTCCGAGCCCGAGCCGGAGCCGGAGCCCGAGGAAACCCTTTACTTGACACACCTCAACAACGGCTGCGGCTCAAGTGGCATCCACACACACACAGACAGGCAGACACACACACTCACACACACACACACACACACACACAAAAATACGTCGATCGATACCGTCTGCCGTTGCATTAATGTGAGGTGATGAACACCCAGTTGGGCAGCCCAGTAAGCACAGGCAGTACTTCAGCCAGGGGCTAAGCCGCTGAAGCATGCGTATCATCAGTGCACAACAAATCTTAATGATCGTTATGGCTGTGCGCGAGGCGTTGATGACGCGACCATGCCATGATCGGGCACATTTTGAATGCCCAAATGGTGCTGAGCTCCAGCCCATTCATCGATTCATTCATTTCATGCAATGCCCCGAAATGAAGTGCTCGAAATGCTTTGTTAAAGGATTTTGCCCTGCATTGATCGTACATATCATAAATACATATATTTTTGTTTCGTTAATTTTATATTTTAATGTGTATTATCATGTACCACCGTATATTTATATACTTTGTATGTCACTTAAACTTAAATACAAAGCGCTAGCAAATGAGTTTGGAAATGTTTTAGAACTTGTTGCTAAACAAATTTGAGAATGCGCCACTCAATCAATATAATACAATACAAAGTGCATTATTTATAATCATAATACATATACATATAAAATATTAGATAACTTTTTAGAGAATAAGAATATTTATATAACATATGGATGCGTGTGTGTATGCGTAAGCGCCGCTTAACTCTGTGCTAAACACGTTTCGATTCATGCAACTGAGTTGACAATTTTTGCCATCATTTTTAAGAATTCTTTAGCCAATTAGTGTTTGGTTTCTTTTGTTTAAGTTAAATAATAGTATTAAAGCCACAAATGCGTCTAAAATGGGAATTGAATGGATGGGAGGCCTGCATGGGGCAACACTTGTCTTTTCACAACAATTTACTAGTTTTTATTTAAATTTCTTGATGCTCTTTAGTATATTGGATTTAGTTCTTAAGCTGAAACACCAATATTAAAACGATGGCTAACAGAACAGCGGTCAGGATGGCAGCCAATATCAACTTCTTCTTTCGCACTTTGTTCTACAATAAATAATAAATGCAAATTAAGAGCAAATTCATATCAGATATGCTCAACACTTACCCGGTAAGAGCTAGCCTTGCGCAAATTTTCAGTGCCTTGTGAAACGAAAATGCTTGTTTGTTCCACCTGAGACTCGATCGAATCGACTGTTAAGCCTTGCTCGTAAACCATAGCACCTAGATTTTTGTAGATTTCATTGACGCCCACTATGTTGTTCTCCAGCTCGCGTATGGCACGCTCCTGTTCCTCAAGTGCTTGCAGGTCAACATCTTCCTGCATTTGAGTTTGTATTTGCTGCTGTTGCTGCTGATTTGATTTGCGATTGAAGAAGTTGTCCTCAAAGAAGGAACCATTGTCATTGCTACTGGCATTGGTATTGGTTCGTGTCGAGCCAGGTGGATGTGAAATACTGAAATTCTGGGCGCGCGCCTGATGTAAAGCACTTCTTTCAATATCAGCTGTTTTACGTTGAATAGCCTGCAAAAACAAAAACAAATATTGATGACTAGAGTTGTTACTTTGCTTATCATTAAACAGATTAACAAACCTGGAAGGCGGTCAATGCCGCTGTGAACTCATCCACCAGACGATCGCGCTGTATCTTAAGGTGCCGCTCTTTGCACTTGTCCACCTCCATTAACTGATTGTTTGTATCGGTCACCAGCTGCTTGGTATAGGTCATTAACTGATGACTATGTACAGAAGACATGTTTTGTTTAAGTATTACAAATATACGTTTAGCTTTGCTATTTGATAAGTAAGGCAAGACTCTTACAAACACTTACAGCTTCTTCTTCAATTCGGGCGAGTCCTGTGGCGTGTTCAGCTGATTGACCATTCGCTGCATAGTGGAGACTGTGTCGTTCGAGTATGCATAGTAAAGTGATTAGTCATAGATGAAAAATATACGCCCCAAACTACTCACCATTTTGTTGGACTTTTTGTATGCTTGTCGCGATTATTTGTGCTAATCGCTGAAAATCAAATTCACTTAGGCCACCGCCCACACCTCCTGCTCCTCCTCCAGCACTTCCTCCTCCTGCCACACCGCCTCCTCCGCTGAGGCCATTCTCCATATGTTGTAAATCCATGCTTTCGTATGCAGACACCTTGCCAATGTTCTTTTTAATGGTACAGAAACCAGTTGTTACTCTTGATTTTCTGAAATTTTCAATAAATGGTTTGCAATTAAATAAATTATTCACTGCTCTGATTTCTACTTATATCATTATATGCGTTTCAGACAAATACACCTGTAAGCGAACTTGTGTGTGGTTGTATATGTATTGTTTTCTGTTTTTGCTTATCGAAGGGGACTTGAGTAGTCTTTGTTTTACTCTTCGCTGATATGTCATCACATCCCTCACCTTGCTTGTCCTTGTCAACCAATCCAGCAACCTTTGCAATCAAAGCTTAATCAACTGCATGTCTATTAAATAAATTAATTTACAGAGCGATTTTTTTCTAATAAAAACCAACAAATTTTGCAAGAAATATGTAAGTTTATAGAGGTGGAGAAATAATTTAATACACGGGCTTAATCGATTATTTTAAACAATCGTAATGGCATTGTTGAGTGTGGCCGTATAGGAAATATGTAGAGATGATAATGTACTATCGATATTTCGCATTTCAACTTGTAGTAGTGTTAGAAAATTTAAAATATAAAGATATTCAATTCAAATTCAAAATGGACTTGAAAGGATTATGTATCCTTCTTTCGTATAACACGGCGGTCCCACTGCCATTGTGTAATCACATAGCATTTAAATTACCAAAGAAATAAATTCCTAACGTAAAACATATGTAAGTAAAATTTAAAAATAAGCTCTGCAATATCCTTTTTGAGCAATTAATTAAGTAAATCGTAATTAGTTTAATCCTCACACAGTTTTTAATATTATCTTATGAATAATGCATATTTACTCATTAACAACTTAAACTCTTGTCAGGACAACAAAACAAGCTAAGCAAGCTGTCTAAAACTGGAATGAAAGTCCCGTTCGCTGGAGTTCTAAAATCAATTATTCAAATTTTTAAAATTCCATTTTTTAAATTCCAATATAATGAATGCAATTAATCTAGCGCGAACACGATTAAATATAATACTGTCATACATACTAAAAAGAAATGCTACAAAAAATTTAAGAACATTTCTTTAATTATTAAGAAACCTGTTTATCAGGGAATCACTTTTAATGTATTCAGAAAAACTGTCTACCCAGAGGAACTAATGCAATACAAATGATGAGAATCTTTTAGAAAACTGAAAAGTCAGAATCAATTTTATTATGGTTTCTCCAAAAATTGTTAATGTGTAGGCTGTGTAACCAATGCAGTTGCATCTAACGATTTAGAAAGCGGGTAGATCAATTATCTTCATTTGCATAAATTTAATGCATATTCAACACTCAGTGTGTTGTCCCCAGATATTTGATAGCCGTACTGCAGCTATGTTTCCTGAGCAACCGGTTACTTTTTATACCAGATCGAGTTTTTAAATTTTAATATACCATTCATCTATACTAACAATACATTTTGTTATGCCCAAAACTGATATAAAAAGGCACGTAATTCCTTCAACACTGCTTAATCGGTTCTCGACCAACGCCGGAGTACGAAGCAACGAAGCCGAAGCAAAAGTCACCAGTCGAAAGTTTTTCATTTTGAGTTCATCAAAATTCGACGATGCATACTTTCTGGTTAATGATCTCCATTCAAGTTGCTTTGTGCTCTTGTCATTACATGTATGGGCCAGGTGCGTGACTTTTAACAGTGTGCCAGAAATATTTAAAATAAAAAAAACGGCGACAGTGTGAAAGATCGTTAACCGAAAGCGAGCACAATACAAATAAAAGGTTTTTTAATTAGCCTAATCGAGTGTTAATCAAACAAACTGTGCACATGCGTAGGAATTCAGAATTTTGTATAATTTTTTTAAATAAGTAAACATTGATCAAGAACTTTCACTTAACCACGTGATTTATATTTCTTACACAGATCGTTCTTGGAATATACGCTCTAAGGGTGAGCTAAAGAGCAAAGATTTTTGGTTTCATGATGCACAACGTACGGTCTATGAAAAGACCTCGACTGTACCGAATCAGTATTTGGCCAAGAACATAATCTTATTCCTCGGAGATGGCATGTCTGTGCCTACTGTAACGGCAGCCCGCATCTATGATGGTCAAAAGAAAGGCATTGTAGGGGAACGAAATCGTTTGGAGTTTGAAAAGTTTAACTACGTCGGATTATCAAAGGTAAGCTAAGCTTTAGAATAATCTGTAATCAATAGACAGCTTGATCCTGATTTCCTTTAGACTTACTGCGCAGACAAACAAGTTTCTGACTCGGCCGCGACTGCCTCTGCCTATCTGTCGGGCATTAAGGCTAATTATCTGACGATCGGTGTTTCAGCTGATGTAAAAGTTAATGACTGTGAAGCAGCCAAGTCGCCCAGTAATCGTCTCTCGTCCATTGCGACATGGGCGATGCGTGGACGTAAATCTGCGGGACTGGTAACTACAACTCGGGTCACTCACGCCAGTCCAGCTGGAGTTTATGCCCACACCTCGAATCGTGACTTTGAGAGCGATTTTGATGTTAAGGATCAAGGACACGATCCTAGCAAGTGTCCAGATATCGCGCAGCAGTTGTTGTCCGATGAGGGCCAACGCTTGAAAGTTGTCATGGGCGGAGGTACTAGGAAATTTCTGCCCAATACAGAGAAGGATGTGTACGGCAATGTAGGCGAGCGTTTAGATGGACGCAATCTGATAAATGAATGGCAAAGAAGCAAACACGGCAATGCGCAAGTGGTCTTCAATCGTACTAATTTGCTGAGCATCAATCCTTACAACACGGACTACTTGTTGGGGTTATTCAATGCCTCTCATTTGGCATATAAATTGGATGAAAGCATTGATACTCCAACGCTCGAAGAAATGACCGAAACTGCCATTAAAGTTCTATCAGCTAATCCGGGTGGCTTCTTTCTGTTTGTCGAAGGCGGTCGTATTGATCATGCTCATCACGAGACTAAAGCCAAGAAAGCCATGGAGGAAACTGTACAATTTTCAAACGCTGTCAAAAAAGCAAGACAGTTGACCAAGCCTTGGGAGACTTTGATTGTGGTCACCGCTGACCATGGACATACAATGACCATTAACGGATACCCCGATATAAATAACGACATAACTGGCCTAAGTTCGGAATTAAGTGACCTCGACTATTTACCTTACGCCACATTATCCTATGCCAACGGTCCTGAAATGAATCGCTTCTACGAATTGGAAACATCAAATAACACCGTTAAACGCGTGGATCTCCGCAATCTAAATATAGGTGATAAGGATGCAAGGTATCCACATGGCGCTCCTTACTCTGAGGAAACTCATGGAGGTGGCGATGTTGCAGTTTACGCTAATGGTAATAGTTAGAAATTATAATAAGCGAAACAATATTTATATTTAGTGATAATCTTTATATTGCTTCTCCAGGTCCCTGGTCGCATTTGTTCAGCGGCGTTTACGAACAAAACACAATTCCTCATCTAATGGGTTTCGCTTCATGCATTGGTCCTGGCATAACGTATTGCGATCTCCGTCCGAAAGCCGCCTACGTTCCATAAAATATTTATTTAGTTACTAGTTTCGAGTATTTGTGTAGAGCACTAAATCTCACTTAAAAACAAATAATTATATTTTAAAAATCCCCATTTTTACTGTTGCTATAATTAAAAAATACTGAAAATCACATGAGTTTGGTATTATGCTAAAACTAGCACTAAAAATGGCGCATTCGACATTTATATCAAATAGAAGGTACGGTCACTCTAAACATCTCCGCCATTTTAGCTGTAGCTGCAGAAAAATTTTCGCAACAATAGTTGAGGGAGCTGTTGTTTATAATGTAAATAGATTATATGTGTGATTATCGCATATTCGTAACAGCTATATAAATAGTAAATTGTCAACTACGGGCTTTACTTGCATTTATACGTACGCCGCACGCCGGTGGCTAGTTGTTCGACTGTACGAGCGGCTTGTAATTGTGTGCGTGTGTGTGTGAAAGTGGAAAAAGTGTGCACGGCACCGCTAAATAAGTTGGTCGCGTGCGCCTAAAATCAATTTTGTTGTTCAGTAAACGCTCACGCAACCATGGCCGACGGGGTGGTGCTGGACTTGTATGCCGAAGATTTGGACAAAGATTTTGCCGGGCAAGCTCAGGTAAGTTAGCATTACCACGCTTTATATGTCAGATGTGTATTTGTGCCATGTATACATGCATGCGCGCTTTTATATGCAAACGTATGTATGTATGTGTAATGAGGGTATATTAAATAACAATGTTGATACTCTTGCAAATATCGATAAATATTTATTTTTGTACGTATATATCGAAATATTCAACACACTCAAATTTTATAAAAAGGATGAATTTGGTGGCGACGGCGTCGATTTGTACGATGACATCGGCGGCCCCACCGAGCCAGTAGCTGCAGGCGGCGGTGGCGGTGGTGGCACCCCAACTGGAGATAATGCATCTGGACCTGGATCCATCGACGGCTCCTCTAATGTCGGTCCCAATGGAGTTTACCATCAGGGCAGTGGTAACCAAACTCCAACAATGAATCGCCGTTATCAGCTATATGTGGGTAACCTGACCTGGTGGACCACAGATCAAGATATCTCGAATGCTTTACGCGAAATAGGCGTCAACGATCTGCAGGAGGTGAAATTCTTTGAGAATCGTGCTAATGGTCAATCGAAAGGGTTTAGCGTAATATCGCTGGGCTCGGAACCTAGTTTACGCACTGTACTCGATCAATTGCCCAAAAAGGAAATGCACGGCCAAACCGTGGTAGTCACCTACCCAAGCAAGCAAGCGCTTACGCAGTTCGAGAGCTTACAAAAGACACGTCCAGTACCGCCGCCGCAGCAAAACGGACCACCACGTGGACCCGCACCGCCCAACATGGGTGGACCGATGCCTCCGCATCCGGGCGTACCCCAAGGTGTGCCTCCAGGACATGCGCCACGCATGAATCCCAACTTGCCGCCAGGTCAATACCGACCACATATGTCGCAAGTGCCGCAGGTTGGACCCAATTCTGGACCTCCTCGAATGCAGGTGAGCTATTGCACTTTTATAGTTCTTTTCATTTTGCTTTCTTTTACCCGTAAGTCGTAGCTTTTTTAATTTCCCGTTAGCAAGTGACCATAACAAAAGAGTTCTTGAGTTTGTTTGGGATTGTTTGGCTCGTCAGCCCGAATTAACAACGCCATTTACATTTCTTTTTAACTATTACTCATTGAAATTGTTCTGAATGCAAAATTTGATATCTTCAAAGTCGAATATTTGGTCGTATATTTAGCTGATCAAAGATTGGTAATTTTTAATTTAACATAGATAAGTGGAATTGAAAATACATCATTATATCATGACATGTTCTTAATGTTCTTGTACAAGCAAGTATGTAACTGATAGTCCCCAGCTGGACCTCTATATTAGATATTTATAGAACTGTATTTGAAAAGAATATGTATACAAAAATGACAATCCTAAAGTATTAATAAATGTTTGATAATTCCCAAGTGAAGCTAATACTTTTTATCACGTAGAAAAAACATTTTAATTTGGTTTATATTTGATAACTTAAGAGTACTAGACATGCAAAAATACGACTGTAAGGTTATTATTGTTCATTATTATGATTTTAAGTACGATACATGTTTTGGTTTAATAAAGAAAAATTTCAGAGCAATTTTATAGAAATTCTTGAGTTAAGACATTTTTGTATCTATGAATTCTTTATGCATAAGCCTATATATTACCATTTGATTTTTTTTTTCCTTTTTAATGTAATTTAGTGCAAAACTTACTTGCAAATTGTTTAGACTTCAAATTTGTTTGAGTACACCTAATGGTAGCTATCTTAAGGCAATATTTGTTACTGTAAATGTGCTGCATTTGTTTTGCGATATATATATGTATTTAATATATATGTACTATCTATTTAAATATAACTATATAAAAATGTTTATGTATTACGCTTTATATTTATATTCCATTCCATGTGTTTTATGACAACGCTTACGCACACTTCTACCCACCACAACAACAACTACATCTACAATAATAAAAAAAAATACGTAAATTATTAGCCGCCAATGCATCCACAAGGCGGCCCAATGGGCAATCAACAGCCACCTCCCAGGTATCCGCCAGCGCAAGGTCAATGGCCAGGTCAACGTCCCGGTGGACCCCGACCGGGTCCACCAAATGGACCACTCCAACGACCACCAATGGTAAAAAAATTCCTAACAAAAAACTGTAAAAACAATACCAAAGTTATCCTATATATTATATTATTATTTTAAAAATATCAAATTATAATATAGTAGAAAAACGAAACCAAACTAACCCAAGTTAAGTTAACTTAGTGAACGACATTAGAGTGTCTCATCAATTGTATTCAGAACATTTAAATAACTGCACATGTTTGTAACTGCAACAGCCACAATATGTCCAACCCATCCACAGACACAGATCTCATGTACATACATCCACGACGAGGCTACACACAACTGTAACTGGCCTAATTGAATTTCTAGGGCCTTCGATGTCATTCTAAGCGCGGTTGCTAATTATTTATTTTATGCTTTCTTTTTGCAGTTCCAGGGACCAATGGGAATGCCAGTTCGTGGTCCTGGGCCGGGTCCTGATTGGCGTCGTCCACCTATGCATGGCGGCTTTCCGCCGCAAGGGCCGCCCCAGGGTCCACCTCATATGCAGGGTCCGCCTCGTCCGCAAATGGGTCCTGGTCCACCACCTGGTTCGGGTGGACCACATGGCGCTCCCGCTCCGCATGTCAATCCAGCGTTCTTTAATCAACCGGGTGGTCCACCGCCGCATCCAGGTATGGGTGGTCCTCCACATGGCCAACCAGGACCCCAGCCAGGCATGAACATGCCTCCTCAGCATGGACCACCACCTCATTTTGCACAACAGGGTGGACCGCGCAATCCGTGGCCAGGACCTCCGCAAGGCAAACCGCCAGGCGCTTTCCCCGATCCACAAATGGGGCCGCAATTAACGGAAGTTGAATTTGAAGAGGTAATGAGCAGAAACCGCACGGTCAGCAGCTCGGCGATTGCCAGGTAAGCCCAAAACTAATTAAGAATATTACTTTTATAACCAAATAATTTTTTATTACCACAGAGCTGTTTCTGATGCTGCTGCTGGCGAGTATTCAAGCGCCATCGAAACATTGGTTACAGCCATTTCCCTCATTAAGCAATCGAAGGTAGCTCACGATGAGCGCTGCAAGATTTTGATCAGCTCACTGCAGGACACACTGCACGGCATTGAGGCCAAGAGTTACAATCGACGCGAACGTTCGCGTTCCCGCGATCGTTCTCATCGCAGTCGTCAGCGTCGTGAGCGTTCAACTTCGCGCTATCGTGAGCGTTCCCGTGAACGAGAGCGTGATCGTGATCGTGAGCGTGAGCGTGATGGAGGGTAAGTTTCAATGTGGTAATTTATATTTATCATTAATCCACAACATTTGTGCATCCGCCAACAGCTATCGAGAGCGTTCGCGCAGTCGTGAACGCGAGCGTCAGGCTCAGGACCACTACAGAGACGACAGGTAGTTGTAATCTAATGAATCAAAGACCCTTGACCCTAACATTTCCACTTTGTGCTATAGCAGCAGCCGATCTGCACGGCCACGTAAGTCTCCAGAGCCTGTTGTTGCAGAAGCCGCTGAAGCGCCGTCATCTAAACGCTATTACGAGGAACGCGAACGTTATCGCTCTTCGGATCGTGAACGTCGTGATCGGGATCGGGACCGTGAGCGTGAGCGCGAACGTGATCGGGACAGGCGTGAGGAGCATCGTTCCAGGCATTGACTGCTACACAAGCGAGAGCAGAATTAATAACAACCAATACACACCCAAATACATCTTACACCTCCTAGACACTCTTATTAACACAACATAATAATGATGCAGCAAGCTGAACACGGCCAGCCACAAGATTAACAAATTTTGATTTGTATCTAACATTACCAATACGTAGGATATGAATATGGTATAACATAGTTTCTCCTAGACGTACTAAAGTAAGCCGAAATGTTGACAAGCCTCTACAAAAAATAAAAAACGATACACAATTGAACGACGGACTGCCAAGCCCACAAAATCACCATATTAACGGCATTAATTCTGCATTGCATCTGAACACATCCTGATTGAGGTCGTCAGTGCGGATGAAGGGACGGGACGGATGGACAGCAGCTACAGACGAAATAAACTACAATCAACATCATCGACGTCATCTTCGCCGCAGAATTTCAATATTATTGTACTTTAATATTTCGGTTTATTTAATAAAACATATATATATATGAAAACTAAAAAATGTTCGAAAAAATACTCAAACTGTCTTGCGTTGTGTGTCTTCTTGTACCCTATACATATATACAGAAATATAGTTTACGAATCGATATACATATATATATTTAAATTGTACAACTACAACGCATTTAATATAAATAATATTGTTATATTAACACTTGCATCTTTTTGCAAATCGCAAAGATTTAGCCAAAAAAAAATATATGGCCAAGAATCGTAATAAGCTCAATTGTATTACAACTTTTTTTTTTGTATATCTTGCCTCAAGCATTTATTTAAAGTTGACTTTATTTATATAAATTTAAGCGAGCTTATTGTGCGCGTCTGTGTGACTGATCCTTAACTATAATTGTTGACTGACCTTATCCAATGGATAAGTAGTATATATTTATATACATTTATAGCTAGAATGACAATATTAATATAATGTAAATAAGTGGTATGGATGAGCTGTTGTGTGTCTGTGATGATAAATTAGACTATACACAAACATTATAAACTAATTGAGGCCTTAACAGCATTTATTGTAGCGTTTTTAAATGCGATCAAGCTTTTATGTAGTTGCTATGTAACACTGATTTTTTCATTTTTTTATATATTCTATAAACTTTATTTTTATTTGTACTATGTACACAAACATTTGTAAATGAAATTTAACTTAAATCTTGCTACACTAATCCATATGATATTTGTGTAAATTATAGTTTTCGACATTTAGTACCTGTAACTTTCTTAGGTCTGATCTAATACGAAGTATTACGACCTATACGGCCGTTTAATGCTTCTAAGCTAACGATATTTGTCTTGTACAAACATAAAACTGTGATTTTGATTGAAAATGAATATTCATACATATACACTGTAAATCATGAACAACAGGTAACGTTATATATACATATATGTATATAAAAAATAGTTTGTAAGTGCGTGTCTTGTTTAATTTAATCAGATAATATCAAGATTACAAAATCATATTTATGTCACCCATACCTAAGACAAATCGTTATTATTTTTAATTTTTCCATTATTGTTTAAAACCATACGCACTATAAATCACAATCTTCTATTTAGAGCAAAGACTAGTACTAACGACCCGAAATAAAATGTACAATTATAATTTATTACGATGGTTTCATAATTATTGATAATCATAGCATAGCATACATACAAATATTTATCTTAAAGCACATTTTCATTCAGATTTGTCGTTAATTAATGGTCCAACAATAAAGATTCCTTCAATGAAGGTGTCGAAAATTTATTCAAGTTCAGTATTTCAAAAAGTTATCGCGCGCCGATTATTATGTCAAAGTTTTTTACTTAAAGTGTGCCCATATGTTCATTTCCATACAAAACGGCTACCCTATCATCTGGAAGCTTCCTCAAATGCGTTATTGCTCAACACTAAATTGCAATAGAGATAAATAAAAGTGAAATACAAATACGAAAAGATCGACATAGTATACAGCGTAAAATCAGTCAATCCAATACACACGGCTTTACTGTTCTAGTTCACATTTCGTTCACACTTCTCCGTTCGATTAATATAAAAAGAAAAAACAGCCAAGTTTTGAAGCAGAAAATAAGGATACAGTATGGCGGATACAGCACAATATCTAAATGACCGTTTCCAACGATTTATGCATGGCATCGGCGAGCGCTAGTGAGTATGCAAATATGTATGCCTTAAGCTAGTACAAAAGTCATCGTATGATGCGTAATTTGAGGCTAAGTGCAAATACTTTAAGAGGGGGCAAAGCTGATACCTTGCGTCACTTTGAGGCTGACGTGTTGTTTTGTTATAAATCCACATCAACAGTTGGTCTAATCAATAGTCCTTGAAAGCAATGGACACGCATAGTTGAACTAATGCCTTCTGTTTTTCTGTTTTTAGTGAGCCATTCATCCGTCAGCACCTGTCTAAGGTGTATATGGTGCTGGCTAGCACCACCGCTGCTTCGGCAGTGGGCGCCCTGTTCCAAATGCGTGGAACTTTCGATATGGGCATGTTAGCGGCCATTGCTTCATTGGTGCTGGTTCTTGGTCTGCACTTTTATAAAGACGATGGCAAAAATTATTACACACGCTTGGGAATGCTTTATGCTTTTGGATTCTGTTCGGGACAAACATTGGGTCCATTGTTGGACTACATTTGCAGCATTAATCCGGCGATTATCTTAACTGCACTAACTGGGACATTTGTAACTTTTGGTTCCTTATCGCTAGCCGCTCTGCTTGCTGAACAGGGCAAGTATTTGTATCTGGGCGGCATGTTAGTGAGCGTTATAAACTGCATGGCTCTTCTCAGTCTCTTCAACATGATCTTTAAATCCTACTTTGTGCAAATTGTAAGTAATATCAAAGTGTATTCAGATTGATCCAGCTAATATATTATCTTCGTCTTAGACTCAATTATACGTTGGCGTCTTCGTTATGGCTGCCTTCATAGTGTACGATACCCAAAATATTGTGGATAAGTGCCGCATGGGCAATCGCGATGTGGTACAACATGCATTGGATCTTTTCTTCGACGTGTTGAGCATGTTCCGCCGTTTGCTGATTATCTTAACGCAAAAGGTTTGTTGACAAAAACCTTATTTCAATTGTCATCTGTTAAGGTAGCAATAGTATGTTAGACTTGTGCTCAATGTTGTGCCCTATCTTACAGCTCAAGAGCTTTATGGTTTAATAGTCGTTAGAACAATTTAGCGACGAACCCAATAATAAATACCCTTGATCTGACAATTTTTATCAATCAATATCTTTAAATTGTGCAAAACCATAATTTTTATATTCACTCGAAACGGTATTAACGATTTAAGCTTATACCTATATTTCGTATGTCCAAGGCAATAAGTATACTTTCACAAAAGTCTTTAGGTGTTATTTTCCTACTGGCCTTTCGCATTTGATTTTTTTGATGGAAGTATATTTATTTCCAGGTTTACGAACAACTCATTTAAAATCGATATCCTCACATAAAGCTCGCCATTTGTGAAACTATATTTATAACCTTGGAAACAGTGATTAACATATTGTAATATTTCATTTAATTTTCAGGAGGAACAAAAGCAGAATGATCGTCGCAAGAAGAAGCAATAAGAAAAATGATCTACTGACAAATTTCAAATGAATTACATTGGATACAATTTTAAATTTCAAATAAAAGGAGGGCCCGTGTTAATCTTTTGGCTTTCTATTATATATTCCACCAAATACACAAAATTGAATATTTGGTACACGAAAACCATGCAAATCCCGACCTAAATACCATCTAATAAAACTCAATTCATTCAAAAGACTATAAATGTAATTCGTATGGCCATGTGCTATTGAATAATTCTTAATGAAAGGTCCCAGGTTTATGGTTTATATCTGTATGTTGTATTAAATTTATAATATCTTTAATATCTATTTTTGGTTGATAATTAATTATTTATTGTATTATATATACATACAGTGGAAGATAATTTAATAAAAATATATTTTCCCTCATGTAAACCCTTTGCCATTAAGCGAAAGGACTATTGAGATTGCATTCGTTGATTGTATCGATTAGCTGAACAATTCACTCGACCAACAAACCAATTTAATTAGGTAAAGTAGTAGTCAGCTAGAAATGTTTCTCGGTCGATTATTTACCATTTGAGTTTGTTCTGACCAGCGCGCAACATGTCCCAGCCGACGCCAATAGTGCAACCGTTGTTGCTGCAATTCCAGCAACTGTTTTTCTTATCCAAATTAGTGGGCGTATTGCCACAGGATTTGGCCAAGTTTCGATTTAAGAATGTATTGGAAAAGTCGCGCAATGGCATGATCTATATGCTGGGCATGTTGATGCTTTATATAGTGCTCTATAATCTGCTCATTTATTCATTCGGAGAAGAGGATCGCTCGCTCAAAGCAACTCAAAGTGAGTAGGATAAGACAAGTATTTACTTTAATTAAATAACGAAAGTATTCAGGCACCTTGACATTCGTTATTGGCCTGTTTTTGACCTATATTGGGCTTATCATGATGGTCACGGATCAGGTGACGGCGCTCTTTAACCAAGGACGACTGGGCGACCTCTACGAACGTATACGCGTAGTTGATGAACGTTTGTACCGCGAGCAGTGCCTGGTGGACAACAGCACTATAGCAAAGCGAATTCGAATAATGCTTCTAATGACGTTTGTTTTTGAGCTCTTCATTCTGCTGAGCACATACGTTAAGCTCGTTGATTATACGCAGTTATTATCACTATTGTGGATTGTCTCCGCAATTCCGACTTTTATCAATACTCTGGATAAAATTTGGTTTGCCGTGTCGCTGTATGCCCTTAAGGAACGTTTTGAGGCCATCAATGCCACGTTGGAAGATCTAGTGACAGAGCACGAAAAGTTCCTAACCTGGTTAAATGGAGACGACCACAATAATTCCATTGAGGACCACGCAGCAGAAGAATCTGCATCGCAACCACCACAATACGACAGTAATCTGGAGTACTTATACAAGGAGCTCGGTGGTATCGACGTAGGTTCACTGAGGGGTTCAGGTAGCAAAGGCAAGAACAAGGTTGCCCCAAGTAAGTAATACATATTTTTGACTTTTTGCTCACAATCATGTGGTTTGTTATATTTAATGAACTTAGTTGCCCACTCGATGAACTCCTTTGGGGAATCGATTCAATCGCCTCGCAAGCTTCAACAGTCGAATGCAACTCCAATGATAAACATGGCTCACGAAAGCGAGTTAAGCAATGCAACCAAAGTCGAGGAAAAGCTGAACAATCTGTGTCAAGTTCACGACGAGATCTGTGAGATAGGCAAGGCAATGAATGGTTTATGGAGCTATCCAATACTTTCGCTAATGGCGTACGGCTTCTTGATATTTACGGCTCAGCTGTATTTTCTGTACTGTGCCACGCGAGCACAGTCGATACCTTCGTTGTTTCGCTCTGCGAAGAGTCCCTTTATCACGGTGGTCGTGCTGATCTATACATCGGGAAAATGCATTTATCTGATTTACTTGAGCTGGAAAACATCGTTGGCCTCCAAGCGCACTGGCATCAGTTTGCATAAATGCGGAGTCGTGGCTGATGATAACTTGCTGTACGAAATTGTGAATCACTTGTCACTCAAGTTGCTCAATCATTCCGTGGACTTTTCGGCTTGCGGTTTCTTCACGCTGGATATGGAAACTTTGTATGGTGTGAGCGGCGGCATCACTAGTTATCTCATTATTCTCATACAATTCAACTTGGCGGCACAGCAAGCAAAGGATGCAATCAACTCATTTAATAGCTTCAACGACACCGCAGGATTGGTGGGAGCTGCCACAGAATTTGGTAATGAAAGCTCTTCACTATTCGATCTGGTCACTACTACCATGATGACACCTTTGAATTAGTGAACTTCACGAACATCAATTTATGTTTATTGACATATTTGTGTAGGCACCTTTTTGGCACTTTCTCTACTTGATTAAATAAAGATCACGTTGCAGTTAAGCATTTGTATTGGTAGCTTGCCACATCCAATTCTTGAAGCAGTTGCTTAAACGTTTCATTGGCTCCATCGTAGTTCAGAATGGCGACACACGATATTTGTGCTCGCTTGTACAGGGCATGGGCTAACTCCCGACGCATTAGCGAGAAGCAGTAAGGCACATTTTGCTGCTGGCAAACAGACTTCAGTTCATCTATCGTATCGTCCAAGCCGCCTAAACAGATGTTATAAAAGGAATGATAGATAAAAGGTTTTTACATATAAATATCTTAGTTACCAGGAATAGGGCAGATCTCACAGTCGGGTGCCAGGATAAGCAACTTCACTTTGTAAATGCGCAGCCTAGACAATGACTCTCGAAAGCCCACCACGAAGCGGGGATGTGCTCGTGCTTTAATTTCATTATGAGCGTATGCGCGTTTCTGAAAACGATCCAAGTCATTTAGCAATTGAGTTGTCAACTCTTTCAGACGGGGTGTCGTGCAGTTATCGCAGTAGCTGTATATGAAATTTATGATCAGTTGGTGGAGCTACATTAATTTATACGTTACGCACCTTCTAAACCGCCGGGAATGTATTTTATGTGTTGGGGTGGGTAGGGCCACTTTTTTTGACGTACCCTCATCCAGAGAAAGACATTTTAAGTCTTCTATAACTTGTAAGGCAATTGGCTCGACGTTCTGGTGAGCTGACGGATTCTGCTCAATTACTTTATTTTCATTTGCCGTGACACAGAAAGCTAAATTATGGACCTTTTCTTGTAGAATAGAATTAACATTTGTTTCATCAAAGCCCAAAGAAACACATTCTGAAGCCTTTTGTTCCTGTTCCACACATTTTGTGTTATCAACAATGTGCTGCTTAAAACTGCGATAGTTTCGAATGATGCGTTTTAGACGTGCTATTCGACGTTTAGGATGCAAACGCGTCTTTCCCTTTCGTTTGGTTTGCAGTGACACCGACTTTCTAGCAATGATCAGGTGGGGTCGTCTTTGATGTTTCTGCTTCTGCCGAGGCACCGTAAGAAAATCGAACAGAGACAACTTTTGTTCGACATTGTGCTTGTTTTTATACTTCGAACTGTGCAGTAGCTTTCGTCTGGAGGCTCCATTACCCTCTTTTAAAATTTGATATGTACTTTGGTTTATTATATTAACTTTATCTGAATATCGTGACATTTTAGGTGACTGTGTTGTAGAGTTTGAAGTGTATTGGTGTAATTTTTTAATCGAAATATGTATATCGATAGTAACAGCTATTAGCATATATTTTTCTACCTACCTGATGTTTGGTCACACAGAATTCAGATTTGAAAATAAAGTAAAAGTTTACTTTAAAAAAAACATCTTCCTACAATTGATATTACATTTATTTATTCTTTAGTTCTATAACGTTTAGTAATCAACAAATACCTATTAATCAGTCAACGCTTATCTGTTGTCCTACTAATTCCTTAAAGTAGACTTATTATCTATCGACGTATGGAATTTAAATATCCTGCATTAAACTTACCCAATAATAACTTGTATTCTAAGTTAATTAGGAGCTTTAATTTCATATACTATAGCTTTATGCTACTTTCTATGGCTATGTGCATCTCATTAAATTGCTTGAGGTGTGACAAGATAATATCACGCTCTTTTACAAATATCTCCCAGTATCTCAAATATTGACTGACGTGCTGTAGCACCAGCTTCCCGGCAAAGTCCAAGCAACTCCGTGCATGTCGCAAACGCCTTCGACAACTGGCTAAGACTAAGCGCAACTGCTGCTCTGGTTCCAATTGAGCCAGTATAAACGACATAACGTTAGCCGTGTCCACTCGCATATCAATTGGAAATATTGCAGACTCGGTGGGACGCGATTGGGGAAACACGAGCAGCGCCGGCGTCACTGACATAGTTAGCTCCCAAGGCAAATCGTTTGCCTGGCTATTAAAGCGTATAAAATTCACATCGGGACTTCGTAACAAAGCTGCTACTTGCATCACTTCTTGGGACATAATGGCGGAGAGTTCACAATCCGGACGGTGTATGAGTACTACATTTGTTGCATTAGCGCGTTGCAATGCCTGGAGCAATAAGTGACGATTGTAATTCTGTATATATGATGCGTCCCGAGATGGGACAAAGTTTAATATATGGTTCCTTTGTACTCGTGGTAGCTGCCGGGCATAGAACTGTTTAATGAATTCAGTCAGTGCCTGGTAGGTGAACGTCTGATGCTGTGGCATGACATGTACTGATTCTGCTGCTGCATCCACTATGAAAGCCTGTACTCCTGAACTGTCTCTTCGGTGATTCCCATTCAGTTGGACTTGATCGACGCCAAGTTGTTGCAGAAAATCGCGATATTTGGCGCCATCAAAGAGCACGACGGCCAGAGAACGATTGTGCGATAACTCTGCGGTTGAATGCTGCCACAGCAAATGGCTATATTTGGCAACCATCTTGGCTATGCCAATCTTTAAGGCCGGCGTGCCTTGCTGTGAATGGGTGTGCGCTAAGCAGCGATTGCGTTTGTGCAGGCCCATGAGATGACGTGTTTCCGATTCCAAGTCGTTTTCGTGAGAGTGATGTGACCATAGATAGTTGAGAAACTCATTGATGGAGTAGTAGTTCGTCAGTGTGGCTTCTGAAAGCTGAAATGCTCGATAGCAATTGTTAGCTAACTGCTCCGAAGTCTTTGCGCCTTCATACAGATGCATCGGCATCTGCATCAGTGACCTGTAACGCGACTCTTGGTAGTCGAGAACATCTTCGTGCGAGTATTTTTCGCAGTCAACATTTTCTCCACGAAGTGCCTCCTCGCCTATGGCTAAGGGCATTGCCGAGTGCTCTTTGCGCATTCGTATGCTCATGGCCAGTACGGGCATGTGACGCGCTTTAATCGCAATCTTTGCGGGTGTTCCATAGCCAGCTGCCTGGAGAGGATTGACCTTGGGTCGTATCCAATGCAAGATCTCCATTGGGCGCCATATATTCGATTTATTATAGCTGTGCAATATATACCGATTATCTATGAGCACTAGTTGAGGCAGTATTATCTGTTCCAATTTGAGAATTTCTTTAGCTCTTTGGCCAAACGTAACAGCAAACCGTACGTTACGCTCCGGATCAAACTCTAACCAATGTATTGCGGTCGCCAAGAAGCGCCTATATTCCTGACTGTCTGCTGATTCCAGCAGAGCTAGCACAACGGCATCCGAGATCCTCCATAGAGCGCCCAACTCAGAGGTGATATGTATGCGGTCAATAGGCTGTATAAGATTATTCATGAATCGTGTCAAATCTTCAAAATGCCATGCACCCTGATACTGCAGCTTCAATTTCCGCCCATAGTTCACCACTAACGTGGGCCATTTGTCTGGATAGCCGCCGTTAATTGCCATGCCGGGAAGCTGCCTATGTGTGCGGCTGCAATTGCATTGTAGGTGCCAGCAATCTACGGCGCCAAATGAAGCGTAATCTTTGTAATAATGCGCCACGCCATCGTAGACCAAACGGGCCTGTCTGGCATCGCTCGACCAAGACACGTAGTAAAACACCAAAGAGACTTCACTAGCTGCCTCCAATTCGGCACGCATCAATGGTACATTGTATGTGGGGCACTCACTTATTGCTGCTTGACTAAGTGGCAGTAGGCCGATTCCGATCCAAATGTAAACAAATAAAATCATTTTTATATGTGCAGGTGGGTGCTTAACTTAATATTGAATTCAACAACGGCAACAGAAAACAGTAAACAGCTGATTCATCGGAGTGACCCTATTCTATAAAAATTCGCAGTTCTTCTTTAGACGTTTTACAGCACCGTATATATTTTGCATTGACGCCGCAATTTTACCCGTGCGCAAACCGCTCTTTTATTCTATTTTATTTAAACTTTATTAGCAAAATGCAGAATACGGGATCAAACTGGCAAGATCTCCGGTAAGAAATAATCAAGCTATTTTAAAACGCAAGAATATCAAATACAATTTGATATTGATGTATATGGGTACGAAATGTCCTTATTGGATTTTAGAGATTGTTTTTGTACAGATTGCAAACATTTCTCACGAATATTTACCAGATATTAGTTCTTAACTATATTTGATTTTTTTCAGACCGAGAGAACGCATGGAATATTTGTTGAGGACCGGCCATTTGTCGGATTGCAGTTTTGTTGTCTATGATAACGATGGCAAAAAAGTTATCTTAAAATGTCACAAATTTGTTCTCATGAGGTGCGTAAAATATGTGCTGTATTTATTCAAATCCTAGTTAATACACAATGTTAAAATATCCTTCAGTGTTTCTCCTGTTTTCGAGCGCATGTTTGAGGGCGACTTCGAAGAGGCAAAGATACCCGATAATATTGTCCTAGACGATGTGTCGGGAAATGACTTTAAGAAGTTTATGGAATATTTGTACTGGCACGATAATCGTCGACTGGACACATATGATCTACAGACACTGCAAACATTGATATATCTAAGCAAAAAGTTCATGGTAACATTTTTTACCACCAATTGTTTGAATGTGATCAAACGACGGCTATCCAGTGGCTTAGAAGCGGATGTGACTATTGATCTATTCGAGTATAGCCACCAGCTCGAAGATGAAGAGCTAATCAGCAACATTACATCGGTAAGTATTACTGACATTAATAATATGGTAAGAAATTCAGCATTCGAAGTTATTCTTTTAGAAATTTCGTTTTAACCCAGATGCCTATATCAATGCGGCTGCAGTTTTTGATCTAAGCTCGGAGGTGTTTTTAAAATTTATCGAGGAGCTAAGTGATCTTGTTGGGGATAAGGTACGATTCAGTGTGATAGATCGTTATTGTAAAATACATGGTCTAGTGGAAAGCTCGGCAAAATCTTCACAACTGAATTCAACCGCTGACAGTGATCACGAATATGAATGCGGAGATTATTCGCCTCTCACCAAAAGAGTTAAGCCATTATTAGAAATACCAAAAGCAAATATTAAAAATGCCGAAGCATCAGATCGAGAAATAGGGAATGAATCATTCAAGAAAGATGAAAATGAAAACGACACAGAAAACAGTTCAGATGCGAATACAGAGCAAATGACAAGTGAACAAAGCGACGAAAAAGAGAACAAGAAAAAAGAAGAATACATTAGTAATCTATTAAAAACTATTAAATTTACGTCGATGACTCCGTATGACTTTTGCGCTGGCCCAGGAACATCAAATCTACTAACAATTGAAAAGAAATACGAAGTGCTTTCTTCCATTTGCATTGCCGAATACAAAATGCGTCTGTTATCTACTTTTTAGTCATACATGTTTTCATATGTATTTCTAGTTTAATACATATTTAATATAAAAGGTTCCTTTATTTTTGGGAGTCCTTTAAGTTCTTTTCATCAATATCGATGTGACTATCTAAAGCATATTTGTCCAAATTATATTAATTATGCGATCGACTTCAAAGTTCTGTTTCTATTAAAATGCCATTTTTATTAGTCAAATGTGGTATAAATGTTTTTAATATGTAGAGTTTGTTTATAAATTATATTTCTTACAAGTGCATTAAAGCTGTTTTAATTCAATATAAAAGGGTTATAACTTTTTTCTGTACGTACCAAAAGGGTATATATATATGTATTTTAAACTGAGCACTCTTAAAATTCTAGAAGACACTTGGACGGCAAACATTTCTCATTGAGATATTGAAGGCACATAATTTGTATGTTTTCGTAATGGAATGATATAAAAGCTTGCTGACGAATGTAGAAGGCATTTTGTACTGCATGTATGTGAAAAAAATTGTGCAATTCCAGCAGACACAATTACATTTTGTTGTGAGAAGTTAGTTATGGACAATATAGAAACTTATGAATATGGTTAGTTGAAGTGGTTGTGTATAAAAATATATGAAAATGGCGGATCAGGCATAACTAATCTCATGCTCGTAGGTCTTTTCCCGCATGTCATGATTGTCGGGCAGAGCATGATGGCGCAGGCCGCATAGACGCGGCCCATAGCGTAGCATGACAATGATGACGCCTATAACGAAGAGAGCTACGGCAGCTACGGCGGGATATAGAATATATAGAGCCATGGCTTAAATGTCACTTTCGCGCTTCTGCAACTCAACGTATTCTTCGCGCTGTCGTTGCTGATGCAATGTACGACCCTCTGGACGGGGTGGTCGCTGCTGATGGTGCGACTGATGTACAGGCTCTAAATCGTCAACGGAAACGACAACGTCACTGGGAAACACTTGCTGGTGAGTGGTTGGCTGCAATGCATAAATATGTCATGTTGGGAAAGCTTTCAAAGTTGAATTGTTCACTCACGTGGAATCGATCGAAATAGCTGGCGTCCTGTAGTTCAGTAAAGTCAAGTGGGGGTTGCTTATGCGGCGTTGAAGACCAAATGGAAACTAGCCAGCGATTGCCCGTATGCCGGTCTTGCCAATACTTACGGTGCTTGGAGCAGCAGCCCAAGATGATGTTCAATATAATTATCGAGCCGAGCACAACTGTGCAAATTGCAATAGTCACATAAAACGGCTTAAAGCTGCCGTATATGGGTCCAGTGAAATATGGATTATTAATATACGCTTTACGCTCCTCTTCAATTGTGGACATAGTCCCACAAGCTCTGCCTTTATTGACTTATAAGTGTAATTGGAGAGGCCGTTGACTGATGAAGTCACTGGCCTATTTCTCTATTAGCTACACGCTTTTCTTGCTGACCACAAGTGCAACGCCGTATTGTCTGGAATGTACATGTACTCAATAAGAAACGTTGACAACTAACTGCATTCAACCCCAAATGCTGCTGTTGATTTTTCTTCAATTCAGTTACGTTGGGCGTGGCACTCATTGCCGCGTTGCTTTGCTAGACATCATTTATTTTATTTAGACCACTTACCATTTGCTCTCAATTGAGGATAACTGCAGTTGAAACTCAGCACGTTTTATTTCAATTTCTGGACAGTCAATATACGTTTATAATTAATAATTCAAATATTTCTTGATCTATAATAAAAACAACGCCCAAAGCCTGGCTCACAAGCTAAACTCGCACACTAAGATATCGATGCGTGTCTTGCAATGCTGCTAGGGATCAATATTGAAAATATCGATATATTACTATCGACTAGTATATCGAGTGCATTTTTAAATGCGTCTCGAAGTATGCTTCGAAAAAAAAAAAAAAAAAAAAAACGAAGATGCAGAAGTGAAACACTATTATGGAGAATATTGCTTAAATATAACATAATTTCATTTCAAAGTATAAATTTTTGTTCTTAATAATTAAAACAGAGATATACAGTAAACGATATTTAACAGCGCCAATTGCTAGCTATTCAATAGCCAAACAAATTAGGTTTCTGACTTCACTGGTCGTATGTCAGGAAATTGTCAGTCTGCGTAAATTGACGAATCAAAGCGCGCCCATCATCTGTCGGGGTGCTAAATGCAATTCGATCACGATGTATTTCAACGCCCAAAACGGTGTGATATTGCACTGCGCGCAGCAATTTGGTAGCAATTCCTTTACGACGTTGCAACGACGAAACCCAAATACGGGAGACACCGCAACTAGATAAAATATAGAGAACGTTACTAGTAACAAACGGTTAAGATAAGTCTAACACTTGACACTTACCTAGCCTCAAAAGTCTCTTCGCTAAAGTAGTCGGTGCCATCGACTTGAATGAAACGATGCGCCTGCGTCAGAGGGTGAACAAGGCACAGTCCCACAATTTGCTGTTTACGCACAGCAAAGAAGGCGACAAATGTCTTTGGGACGATATACGAAGAGTAGCCCAGTTCCTTGTCTATTACCTTGATTAGTTCTGTAAGCCGCTGTAGGCGAGCGTGAGGTGCACGTTCATTCAAACGTATAATCCGTCCATCAGGCGACCACTCCGGATAAACGGCTACTATATCTTCATCTATCCAGCCCTTAAACCGTAGCACATGGACAGAATCATGATATTCCCTATGCAACTGTTCCTCCTCCGGCTCATGGACGGTATAGACTAGTCCACATTGTTGGCACTGTCTGGCTCCAAAAGCCTTTTGACCAGCATCGATTTGATACTGATTGGATCCACTCGCACCAGCCATTAACCTCATCGAGGGATTAGCCTTATGACGCGTTGACTTTTGTGGTATTGGTTGGAGGCGTTGTGTGAAAATAGGAAACAATTTACCTTGTGGCTCAACGGACAATGAAATCGTCTCTGTTTTGTTGCTATCCGCTATATCCACCGCTGGACTGTCATCCTTTCCAGGTACTTGTTCGATTTCAGTTTTGATGTAGTTCTGTTGTTCAGGTTCTAAAAGATCCAACTGATCCGCATAGACTACCGTGTATAAATTATCGACAATGCGCGTGGCCTCCTCCTTGTGATTATCCGGATCAGTTATGAATATTTCAAAATTCTTATCTGTACATATGTTATTGGTGATTAGAAACTCCAGCAAGAGTGTTTGCTGTTCAATGACAGCCGGATCATCTGTTTTGTACGGCAATTGCTGACGGTACTTTTCGTATGGATCTGGCACCACCAGCTGCTCCTCTATTTCAGAAATTGACAGAGATTGAGGTACTGTTTTCTCATTTGATTCTGGTTCAACAATTTCATCCACTACGGTCTCGTCGAGATTTCGTAGTATTGCATCCACAGTTGCCTGCTCTGCTGAAAATATCGTAGCGGATTTAACGCGCACTTGTCGATGTGTTTTTATGGGGGCTTCCATTAACGATATCTTGCCCTGGCTGACACTCGCGCGAATGTTATCAGTGATTCGCACCTCCATACACGTACTGCTGCGTCTGCCGGATTTAAAGAACTTCCGATTGTTGGGAGGCTCAGAGTTGGGCGATGTGTCTGTTGGATTAGAATGACGTATAATTGGTATAACTGGTTCGAGTTCCATTGCAACAGGCTGTGTTTCCTCGTCGCTAAGGTCAGAAAAATCCAGGGCAGATAAAAATTGTGTATCAGTTTCCTTATTATTATTATTATTGTTATTATTATTATTGGCGTCGTCAAGAGCGATTACACTTAGGGGCTTAGCCATTTTAATGGGATCTTCGGCTTTGCGCAGTATGTCGTGGACCTCCTCTATCTTAGCGCGTTCCTCTCTCTTCGTGGTAATCAGCTGTCGCAATTTCTCATTTCGCAACGAGCCCAATATATCATCCAAATTAACCGATGCACTCGTTCGCTGACGTTTTCGTATGTTGTGATGCACGCCCTTATTAATACCCAGTCGAGGACGAGACGGGGGTGAGATAGCCTTAGTCTTGCGTTGGTGTTGTGCCGACTTGCGTGTACTTTTCGAAGACATCGAACCTGATCTGCGCGAAACGCTTTGAGCACCGTTGGAGTGCGAATAGAACGCCACTGTCGGTATACACTCTTTTTCTGTCCTGCGCAGCTTGCACTGCGGCGACGTAGTACTGGATTCCGGTGAAGATTCGATTGTCACTGCAGGCATTCCATGTGCTCTTTTAGTTACCTTTCGCTTCTGGCCAGTTGAAGACTCATCAGAATCTGTGCTAGATTCATTACAGACTACGGCATGATCTCGTGTCTTGGGTGTGCTTGGACTGGAACTGTGACTTTGGCTGGTGGTGCTATTGCTATTTAAGCGCATAGTTTTAGTAAACAATTGCGGTAATTGCTCCACCGTGCCCATCGATACAGTTGAGCCACGTGTCTTCCGCAGCCTCTTGTTTTCCTTATTGGTCTCGGGAGAACTGCCCGTACTACTCCGATCATCTCTATCAGCAACATTCTCGAACAGGTTGCGACCATTAGCTTGATTTTTAGTTGATTTTTTTGACTGACTTTGTTGTCTTGGCTTCAGAGGTGCAATGCCCAACAAGGGGTCCTCTACGTCACCGTCGTCTTCTATTTCATCCAACATGGAGCTGCGGCTACGAAACAATTGCTTCTTGCGCTCGGAAAGCCGTGGAGTAGCAGTTCGAGTAGGGCGTGTAGCACGTCCAGTAGGAGTTTCCATAATTATTGTTTGGTTACAACTACATGTATTTCCCGCTTTTTTAATAAGAGCGCTAATTCAGAATACCAGTGCTGCAAAGTGCAACAACATTGCATCCCTCATATTTGTAATCTACAGGGAGCTTATCGATATTTCAGCTCGATGTTTTTCAACAAGAACAAGTTTGATATAATCGATATATCATTTTGCAGCACTGGCACCACATACACATAAAAGTCATTTTGCCTAAATGTTGTGGGAAAGTGAGTTTTGTGTGAGCTGCTGAACTGAATTGAGAGAAAAAAATCTGGGAAATATTTTATTTGATATTAAGAAGTGCACAGGTAAGAAGTCTTTAAAAATTTGAACGCATATACAACTATAGAAGCCGCCGTCCTGCCACTACTGCATACTACTGTTTCTTTCGCCTTGCCGCCGTCGCTGTCGCCGCCATCTTGTTTTGTATATTGTGTGGAAATTATAATGATTTTTCACGCGTTGTGCATGTGTATGATCTTAGAGTTTATTGGACGCGTTGTGACCTTTCTTTGTTGTTAAACTTGTATCGAGTTGCTTGTCTCTTGCCCTGCCTCAATATAAATCAAAATCAAAATGAAAATTTGCATTGCTTCTTCTTTCACTTTGAGGTCGCGGTCGCCGCCGTTGTCGTCGTTCTCAAGCTGTGCTCCATTTACGTCAATAACGTGTAAACAAACCAGAACCCAAAACTCGCGTACGCTAACGCCTCAAGCTTCCCAAGATATTGAATTAACGCAAGAACCGTGGACGACGCCGCAGCCGAAACCGTCGCCGTGATGCCCGGAGCCGGCACGTTCAAGTTGTTCATCGGTAATCTCGATGAGAAGACGCAGGCAACCGAATTGCGTGCGCTATTCGAGAAATACGGTACTGTCGTCGAATGCGATGTGGTGAAGAATTATGGCTTTGTGCACATGGAAACCGAGCAACAGGGTCGCGATGCCATACAGAACTTGAACGGTTACGTTTTGAATGATAACGCCATCAAGGTGGAGGCCGCTAAAAGTCGACGCGCCCCCAATACGCCAACAACGAAAATCTTCGTTGGAAATCTTACCGACAAAACGCGTGCGCCGGAGGTGCGTGAACTATTTCAGAAATACGGCACCGTCGTCGAATGCGACATTGTGCGCAATTATGGGTTTGTCCATTTGGATTGTGTCGGTGATGTGCAGGATGCTATCAAGGAGTTGAACGGTCGCGTTGTTGATGGCCAGCCGCTGAAGGTGCAGGTGTCCACTAGTCGTGTACGCCCCAAACCGGGCATGGGCGATCCGGAGCAGTGTTATCGTTGCGGCCGTTCCGGTCATTGGTCGAAAGAGTGTCCGCGTTGGACAGGCACTGGTGGACGCGAGCCGCCACCACCGCTGAGCGCCGGCTACAGAGATCGCATGTACAGTCGTGATCCGTATCCGCCGCCACCGCCACCGCCGCCATTCCTGCGTGATCGCATAATGGACGGTTTTAGGGTAAATGCAGACAAATATGGCTACTCTCGACAGGTCGGCTAAAAGATTTACTGCTTAAAGATGAACTGTCTCTCACGATCTTAAAAGATATATAATTTATTATTTATTTTATTTTATTTATTTATTTTAATTTTAAATTAATTGCCAGAGTTTTTAAGCAGTTATTCTATAAATCGACTCGCCGCGAATACCCTTTAAATATCAAAATACACAATTCATTTTCATTCGAAATATCGCACCTTAAAATTTACACTAACACTTTGTTCAACTCTAGGACTACGATTACTATGATCGCCGTTTTGAGGATACACGCGATCTATACGAACGTCGCTATGCGTCATCACGCATGCGCGATTTTCCACCGCCACCAATTTCGCGTCGTGAACCCATGCCACTGCCCCCACCGCTAAGCGGCAGTTTGCGCTCCTGTAGTGTCTCTCGTGGATACGATACCATGTTCAGTAGGCGGTCTCCTCCGCCGCCACGCAGCAGTAACGGAATGAGTCGCTATGGGTGAGGATATATTTATAAATATGATATCGCGTAGATGCTAATTATTGTATTTTGTTGTGCAGCTCACCGACACCGCATGGATATGAGGACTTTAGCCGTGATTCTTTTGACGAGCGCATGATATCGTCGCGTGGCATGCGCGGTCCTTCGCCGCCAGGTCGCCGGTATGCGCCCTACTGAGATGAGTTTTACTATAACGGCAGCAGCTGAGTGACAGCAGCAACAGATTTGAGCGGTGCACTTGCAACAAGTGCACCAGCACTTGTACCCGTTTACAACTATAATGCTATTAGCGGCTCATCATGTTGGCTCCTATGCTGGTCGCCGACAATTCAACATTATCACCAACTGCAGCAGTTGCCGTTCTTACATATGTGGATACTACCACCTTGGTAGTCCCTTACACGTAGCAGCAATAACAAAACAAAAGAAATATTCATAGTCCCTTTAGGTATCCCTATCATACTAATCATAATTATGTAGCATTGTCTGACTGATAATGACGACGTCAATGTTCTGCTGCTGGCAACCAAGATTGCAGGCATCACAGAAGTTGCATCATTATTTCATCAAAAGAGTTCATTCTTAAGCGTAAATAACTACGAACTATTGGATTTGTGTGATTAGCATATATATAAACAAATAAAAAGTTAAGCACCAATGCATGTTTGTGCGATTGTGGAAAAAATGAAAAATCTTGTACGTATGATTTTTACCTTGTAAATGACCTAGTATTAAAAAGCATCATAAGTTACTAGCAAAATATATTTTATGTCTATAAATTCATAGTGAATGTCTATACTAAAGGCAGTCATTGGGATAATATATTAAAGTCCACGATGCTGCTATGCCTGGGATGAGGGCACTATGCGTATCGTCTTTGATTCCAACAGCTCATCTGACTCTTCGTTAGGCGTGGCATCGTTTAGTTTATCTTTCGGATGTATCACCTGCATAGCTATCGGTGGTTTCTCAAATACTGGTGGAATAAGTACACGACTGCAAGTAGGAAGGAGTATTAGAGTGTTAAGGATTAATGCTAGTCATCTACTTACTTGCTGAACAGCAGCCATATCATAGAAACGAGCATCATAATAGATGTAAAACCGAACGTCCAGTAAGTACCCAAACGTGTGTAAATGGAGCCAACGAAAACAGGGCCCATCACACGAGATAGACAGCCTGCAGCTGTCATAATACCCATCCACACCCCTTGCGGTCGGGGACCAAGTACCTTGGAGAATATTGTTTGTATAAGAGTAACGCCAATTGGATAGCCAACGGACGTTAATGCAAATCCAATGATGAACTGTGTCAATGTCAACGCTGGCAGTTCTGGGCACCAATCCTGTGTGACTGGGCAGCCCAAATACAAAGGATCATCGAGGGAGAGATTTGAACTGGCATTGTAAGGAATAGCCAGCTTTGGCGGATCCGGTCCCCACGGTATATAAAGAAGCCGACCCACCACCATCAACGAAAATCCGCCCCAGATGAGAACATAGCGCTCGGCAAAGATTTTGCAAAGTGGTTCAATAAGTACAAAAGTAACTAGAGATATAATTGCTGCAATGGTCATAAAAATGCCCATGTTGTAGAGCGCCTCATTGTTCGTCCAGGCGAACATATCCATGGTCAGCGACGTTCCCAAACTGTAAATAAATGCAAAATAGAATCAAATTTGAGAATTAGCCGTCATCGAACTTACGTTTCTAGTAACACAAAGTTGAAGACCAGTACGAAGAATGCCACAATAAGGGTCCAGGCGGAATAGTAATTTGGTTTAATTGCCTTCCAGGTTTCGCGCTCAGATGTGCCGCCCTGCATCACCATGATCTCACGCGCGGCTATTCTGTGCTCCTCAAAGAAGCCCGGGAGAAACATTACGAAGTTGCCCAAGCTCATGATAACATTTATCCAACCGGAAGCGGTGTACATGTTCACATGCATGGCACCCCAAAACCAGACTTGACCTTTCCGACCCAGCGGTGTCACTAGTGCCTGGAGCCCAGGACCGATGATAAAGCCCAGTACCTGGGCAAGGGACACCATGGACACGGCATGGGTGCGCTCGTTAAGACGTGTAGCCGCTGACAAATAGGAACGGCAGAGCGCAATGTTGGCCGAGCTGACGCCGATGAGGAATCGGGAGACAAGCATCCAGTACTTAACATTGTTCACAAGTTCCAATGAAGAATACAGTGCACTGGCCACAGAGAAGAGCGCCAACGAAATGAGGAGAGGAAGTCGTATGGTGCCCAGTTTGTTGCCCCAGCGACCGAAGATGGGACTGAAGATCATTTGGCCCAACGGATTAGCTGCCACAATCAAACCCATAAACTCCTTGCCCGCAGTGGGGTCTAGCTACAGAGATGCGTTCGTTTTAGTCTTTATACATAAGCTTAAATAGAGGGAGGGAATAAGTACCTCGCTCAGGAATGGCCAAATGCCGGTGAGTATAATGCTAAAGCCGAGAGCCATCAAGAACATGGTGAAGTAAATGACGCGCACGGAGCGCCAGCGCTGAGTATACTCCTCCAATGTTTCCAGATCATCGTCAAGCTCTGTGGTCTGATTACGGGCAGCCACGCGCTCCCGAAACTTACGCCAGTACTCCATGATGTGTCTGTGGACGCCGTTGTAGTAGTTGTGTCCCTTCAATGTTACCGTCGCTGGCTCATGCTGTGTTTCGTAAAGAGATTTGTCCATTTTGATAAGTTCGGTTAAGATATGAGTGATATGTATGTATGTATATGTGCATGAGTTTATAAATATCGTATTCTCCTACAAAAGCAATTTATATTCGGCTTGCTACGTCTTGAGCTTATCTACTTAAGCAGGTGGTCGAGCTATAGAAGACGGTAGTAAAATAATGAATTTAGTATACCCTAGAAATAGGTTTTAAAGTGATATACATATGCACATACATATCAATACATACATACATATATGTTCATACGTATGTATGTGTGTAGATGGCGGGGCAGCCAAGGGTAGGTCAACTCAGCTCGTTGTTCGTTTTAAAAATAAGTTTACTTGCTAGAGTCTGGCACACCTACTTTTCTCTGCTGCATACAGTCTCACATAGCCATTATACTCTGAACTCGCATTTTTATCGGGTCAGGCTATAAAAACATTTTAGCGTATTCAGAAAAAATGAGAAAAAATCTTCACTGGCATTTGGCACAGGTATATAACGAGCTTCCATATTTAAACTTAGTTAAATATGAACAGATATTGAACATACAAAATATATAGCTGCTCATCCTTATCAGTAACTAAATGAGTAAAAAGCGGGATACACATAGCTATATTATTATGCCGTCGTTTACACGCCACTCGTCGTTAAACTTTATCACAGCCAACTTACAGACTCGCAGATAAACAAATACCGATTTCTCAGCTGTTTTCATATTTTTTTGTGGTTGTGTGAGTGTGTTTTTTATATCAACCAACAAATTCATGCGCTTATCGCTGCCAACTAGTTAATACAACCGGCTTTATACATACATACATGTATGTATGTGCGTTTGAGTATATGTGTGTAATGATGATGTTCGTTATTTGGTTTAATCACTCATCGCTGTTTTAGTTATCATTTATCGCATTAGCTGTTGTGATATTTTAGCATGTAGTCGTCGCCAAGTAAGGTCTTAGCAAATAAATATGTGCATATATATATAAAGGTCCCTTATTTACACAATGTATTTGAGAATTTGGTACCGGAGTCGAAGATCAAATTGTACGAATAATTTGCAAGTGAACCCATTCAACAGGTGCTTTCAAAAGGTTTTCAAATATGGGCCATATGTAAATACTTTTAATATGCATATGGATGTACGCACATATATGTACATACATATGTATATTTGTATTATTAATTTGACTGCCAGAGATATGAATCATATTCATTGATTCCACATTTTAATTGACTAACAAATTTCAATCAGCTTTGTTGGGGGTATCAACTATGCTCTCTCCAACAGTACAGTACAGCACAGCTAATTCATATTCTTGGTTCAATGAGCTCTATCCCACATATCTGGAGACGCATATTCACATATTTGTATTCAAATATATATAGCTCTGATAATATCTCTTGCTTGTTTCAATTCCTATGTATAGATAATACATAACGCACGACTTCTTTGTTTTTATTTTTGTTGCTGCATACATTCACATACTCACACACACACGCACACACACAGTTGAACTAACACACAGATACTTCTTGTCATCTGCTGGTGTGAGCACCAACAAACACAAGTGGGGGGACCAAGGGAGCAGCCACTTAGCCGTCTATGTTTTATTTTATTTCATTTTATTTTGTGTACTTTGTTGCACTTTGTAACATTACAAATACATTGATAATGAACTGTTTGCACTTCGCTCTTCTTTACGTTCGCGTTTAACCCGTCGCGCTGCATTCATATAGTTAACTGTGTGTGCTCTTCTTTATTTTTTCTTATTCTTTTTCTTTTACCAATTTGTTAGCTACCTGTTGGAACGCTGCTAATATGTTGTTAAAATCTGCTCAACGCAGAGCAACAGCTGAAGACGCACTGGTCGCTCCAACTGATTTACTCAACTGAAAACCGTTGGCGTCTGTTGCCAACGTTTGACCGAGTCGTCGCTCTCTTTATTGCTCTTGCACGACAATTCACTTTTATTAATAGCGATCCTAAAAAGTATGAAGCACTACTCTGACTTCTCAGTTTAAAGGAAATGCCTAAAAGTATACAATGAAACACAGCATAAAATTGCGTTGCTATTTTCAAAATGCTCATACTTATGTATATAGTTAAGAAATATTTATTTGCGGATAAAATTTACAGAGCAAGATGTACCAATTGCTATCGCCTACTCTAAGGCCAAAGCAACTTACTTACATACACAGCCATTCTCAAATTCTTAAAAATATAAAACATAGATAAATTGAATTACCCAAAATTTACATCTATTGCTCTCCACGGAAGCGCCTCAAACGTCGCTGACGGAGCCAGGGCAGGAGAAGACCACGGGGTGCCAGTGGGGCTAATGGAGCCAGGGGTGGTGGTACAACGGGTGCCCTAGTAGTGGGTGTTGGCTTTGGCTCGACATCTTTGTCACGAACATTTTGTCTAAATCTTCTAAAGCCCTTCGTTTGTCCTTTGCGTGGAATTTTCTTTGGTAGCACATCGTTCATAATGTTAAGACTGAAGACATCACCACTGTCATCATCGGCAGCTAAGTGACTAACCGTGTCCTGTAGCACGCGAGGAATACGTTCTACTACCTGTAGAGCATCACGAAACGGGCGTATTTCTGGCTTGGGCTTTGACGCTTCTGTTGCGGGTACTTCTTCAATGGAGTCGGGTCTGGTATTGCGCGAAAAACTTTTCTTTGATTTTCTAGCTCTTTGACTGTCCTTGTCGCTGAGATGATGTCGTTTAAAAAGGGGTGCGGGACGATTGAGTAGTGGTGCTGTCTGCTCCAGGAACCATGGTTCCCGATGCCCCATTGACATTGGCTCTGCCGCAGCAGCTTGGCGTTTGGTCTCGCGCTGCTTCTGGGCCCGCGTGCCCAATGGAGAAGGGCGCACTAGTGAGCTGGCAAAATCGTTAAACCACTCCAAATGTTCCACAGAACGTTTGTGTCGTGCCAAATTAGATTTGTCTTCTTTTGTAGATGGTGACTCCAGTGCGTTTAATGACAAAGCTGGCCTCTTGTCTCCCGATCTTGATGGCTTGTAGATGGTAATTGTGGAACGACGACTACGGGCAGCTTTGATCTCCCCGGCAGGACTTACCACCAGTTCCCGCTTTTGCTCGAACTCCTTGGCATTTCGCACAAATCGATTGCTGCTAGGTCCCTGAATGAGGATCTCAAATGGTGTGTTCAGCGTGCGCGCGTTCACCTGCATAGTGTGGATACATTCCGTGTCGGAGTTCTCGTTGTTGCACTCGCATATGCACTCCTCGCCGCAATAAAATCCAAGGCAGCCGCAATGCTCGCAGAGCGCCTTACAGTTTCTCTCGTGCTTATGCTCCACGAGCGGATTGTCATAGCGGGATGTTGTTGTTTCCACAGTAGACGCAGTCGTCGAGGCAGTGGTTGGTACACCAGCGGAAATGGATATCTGAGTAGCCAGCAACACTCCAATCAACATAATGGAGATGGCGATATTGCTGATATAGTGTTTAACCCGTATCATTTTGTGTGCTCTGCCTTAGTGTCTTTCCAATTGGGCTTTGGCTGTGCATTCGCGACGCGCTGAGTGTTATATACGCTGACTGGGTGAAATCGTAGACGTTATTTTAGTTTTTCGTTGCTACCGCTTCGTGACTGTCAGTCGAATTTTGATTTGTTTTGCTTTGGCGTTCGCCGGAATTTTCGCTGACACTATATGATCTTGAGACATTTTTAATTGAGCACATATGCAATCGTTATTAACTGCTTCAGTTTTAGGGTCAGCTTAGACATGCGTACTAAATATATAAATTTATATTCTTATATTTGACCAAGGCCAAATTCTTGCACTTGAACTTCATACCAGACAAGAGATGCTTTGCTATTTCACAAAATATTTAGAATTTATTACAAAAAACCAACTAAACAAATTTCACAATTCTCACAAAGAAATGTTTGCCTATAACGCTTTATCGACGCTTGCCCTTGCCCTTCTTGCCGCCGCCTCCACCAGCTCCAGACCCACTTGACTGTGGCTGCGGCTGAGGGTCATTTGTTTTGTTCTGTCGCGTTTTCAGTTGCGGTATTTTACCGGCTACATACTTCATGACAGACTCACGGGTGGAGAAATCTTTGTTGCACAGTGTACCGTCCGCATTGCGTAGTTGCACGCGCACTCGGCCCCGGAACTGCAACTCTCTGCTCTTTTCGCGACAGTACTGTTTATTCTCCACCACAAATTGCAGGTTACACACCGAGAGCACATCGCGGATTTCCACATACGTTGGATTCTCAACACAATTCTCTTTGGGCAGGCGACGACCTTCCTGGCGAGTCTTCTTGCTGTTTATGTATGCTGGGTAAATGCAAATCCATCTGAAAACGAGGTGGCAGGTGAAATTGATGAGGCTGTTCTTTTAATTTGCGTATGTTACCTCTCCACTTCATTGTGTTTCATATTTGGATGCCAATTCATGCGCACAGGCTGTGATGCAGCCATTATTTAAAAAAACTTTTAATAAACAAATTGATGAAAATAAAAGTTTATTTATTTTCCACGCAGGCACCTTAGCGATTAGTTCACAAAATTATCGGTATCGATATAGTTCGAAATGCTGAACTGCCATTTCTAAAGTGATGCAAAACGATATTTTTAAAGCAAAAAGTTGGGGTACTCCTATAAGAAATAAAGCAAGGAATTCATTTAAAATCAGTTGAAATATGATATGGTATACTGTAAATTAATATTGAATGGATTGTTGCCCGATTTTGTAGTTGACCTAACCGATAGTAGTTTTTCTAATATATATCCTATCGATATCATTCGTGTGCAAGTTTCCAATCAGCATATATCGATTAGTCGATGATATATCAACAACTTCCTCATTCTGTTTATAGTTGGTTTAACTGTTGTGCTGTGCACTGCGTCTGTCTGCTTTCGAGTTGAGCGGCCAAACAAACAATTCTAGTCACGCGTATTGAAAGCTTGAGCACTTCAATAACCCGCTTGCATCGCTAGCCTTTGTTGTGAAGAAAGAAGAAATACAAAATAAACACAACCGCAAAAGCACACACAACACGCGCCACAAAATGGACGAGCTGAAT